TATAGACTCGTTTTATGATCAAGCTGATCAAGAAAATGTGTGTTTTATGTAAGGAATGTTAAGAAACCATTAAGTTATCATCGTCCACTGCACAAAAAGTATTTGTGTTATTGGTAATTGTTAAGTAAACAATATAGAAGCAGGATTTTTGATTCTTTGTTTACTTGAATTAATTGCAAACTATCTTTGGTATGCAGTCTAATTGGTCGAGAATTGAATATCATAGCATAATTCAATTATATTTAATAGTCTCCGTAACACTACTTGACACTAGATTCAATCACAATTGTCCTCATGTCACACTAACCTAACTAGCCTGGCGTCCATTAAATACTTGTGTGTCTGCTGGCAGCCTCCACTATGAGGCCAGGTGGTCCGGCTGCTGCAGAAAGCGGCAGCTATTTACGCACTGCCCACCTGTAATTATTACTGCCACATATTTTTGCTCGCACTACTTATCGATTTCTTTTAATTAGCTTTTGCGGCATTTATTTTGAAGAGATCGCTCTGCCGCATGGCGTGTAATGTGCTTCGTGTTTGTGGGAATTATACCGTATTAAGCGTTAACTGAACGATTCGCACTTACTTTTTTATGGCGAGCGCGATGCCAGCTTGATGGCCAAGGCGTGCTAAGAGGGGCCTTGAAGTGCTATGCGTGGCCATCCATTATGGGCTGCTTATTGTGCTGAAACGAATGGTTGTGTTTGGCGTTCGATCGAGTGATTAGATACACGAAAGTAAAATATTATATCGACGAATACGAATAAGTGTAACGGGCGGGAAAGTGAGTTTCCAAATTTCTTTTCTTGGTATGCTTGTTAGGCCAGCAGCTCTTAAATTGCTATCGGTTTCGATTTTTGATTACATTGTCTTTTTGGTGAACTCGGGCCATCATATGCCCAAGTTTTTCACACCACTTAGGATTTCTAAGTACAATGACTGTGTACGTAAATAACTTAACTTAACCCAAATGGGAGCATGGTGGGAAAATTGAGCATTCTTCTAATTGTTAGCCGTCTACTTTGACCAAAACCTACATCTGTACACATTTTTGGTGGATGCTTCCGGCTACACCTAACAGCTCAGACAGAAAACCGGCAGATTCATCTATAAGTGCTCGTTCTTTGACGTCTGTTAGTCGCAGCTCTTCCATCTTATCTACGTCCGCTTCTACGCGTTTGGGGGCATTAACAAAGCTATGTAATTAATGTTTTTTCCGCTCCGTATAATTACTAACCCAAAGCAAACCGAAGCAAGCCCAAGCGATGTGTCGAACATTTTTGAAGCTCAGCTTCTTTACGAACTTTTTTAGTAAGCTTGGTGCCACGTAATGAGAAAAATCGTACTGCTTGACTTGAAAACTGTTGTTGTGGAAATTGTGTGAAAGTTTTTTTTCGGATGGCTGTATAAATTACCGGCAAAAATGCAATTAAAAATACTTCCAACACTTCGTTAGCCCAATTAAGTAAGTAACCAGTGTGTTGTTTATGTGTGCACAACAATTATAAAAGACACACATGACTTGGCACACACTTGGCACAACTTAGCTCTCCACTTGCCTCTCGCACAGTACGAGTATACTCCTACGAGTTACATAATTAAGTACAATAAAGTATTGGCGATGCGTATCTAATAAAAATGGAAAGGGCACTCGACGTCTTTTATCAAACGGGACGGTTTATTATTAATTGGCATTTCCAAATTATAGAGGCAACAAAAAGCATCCTGGCCATTTCAACTTGAATGCAGCACAAATATATACGAGTACTATATATATGTACATATTTTTATTCATTATCGTGCTGGCCATTCATTCAGCATGCTTGGCCACCCAGCGGGTACGTTGGGCTAATTGGCCATGAAGCGTTAAAATTGGAAAGTTCTGCTTTGTACTTTTGTTAATGTCTGAGCATCATTACCATTACAACACTCCACGACCTCGTCTCCCTTATCTACTTCCTTGTTCACATTGACGTCTATATCGCCACCATCGACTTCGTCTTAAGCTGTTGTGGCATAGGAATGGGCATTGTTTTTTTTTGTCGCTAGGGCTTGGACGTGCTATTTACTCTACTTTTCTGTGGTTAAATTATATGTAGCATTGAAACGTAAGTGTGACTAAATCGATAATTGCCAACTCCAGCTAGATTTTTTGCAAAAATAGAGCGAGGTGTGTCAGCGGCTTGTTTGGTTTGTAAGATAAGCTTGGCTCAGCAGGCATTTGCTTAGGCCAGGCATTAAAAGTTGATGAAAATAAATGACTATTATTAATGAAAAGATCATATTGAAGTGCGGATATATGCATAAAAGAAGAACCACTTTATGAGACATGCAAATACGTTTTCTGTAGGAAACATTATAAAAACATACATACTATATGCAAATGATACATGATTTTACTGATAAAGCAAAATAGGTATTACACACATCCCCGCACTCAATTTTAAAGTCGTTAAAAATATATTTAATTGCAGGCAGAGGTGAGACGAAAAGGCAAAGCAATCATTTTTTCTTAATTACCATCGTTTAAGCTTTAATAAGTTGTCAGAAGCTATTCTGCGGCGCGTGGGGTGAACAGCAGAGTTCTAGGGTAGAGAGTAGAGAAGGCACGAATTTTTTGCTCGTCCTACAGTTGAGCTTTAAAGACTATAAAAAGGCGGTAAGCTAGGGAGAGTGTCTGAAGTGCAGAAAGAGAAAAATACAGTAACGCTGAAATGGGTTGTGAATGAATTTGAGCGCAGTAATCATTTATTTTTATTTTTTTGTGTGAGTGCTGCGATTGGGCGCAGACTGCTCACAGAGGCATGTACAAATCGCACACTGCATATACGCGTATGTATCTACATACGTACGAGTATGTACACATGTTTATTTAAAACTGCGATTACGATAACAGGCAGACATTTGTCTCGCCAAACTCAGTGGCCGTCAGTTAACAAGTAGCAACAACCACAAACGCCTGTCCGTGTACGTCAACCATTCATTGATGGTGTCTTCTTTCTTCCTGCGCCGCTCCAAGGTGCACTCAATGTTGTTGTTGCTGCATGTTGCCGCTCTTCTCGAGTCGTTTCATTCATGAGCTGGAGTTGGAGCGGCTTTCCGCTGCTTACGTTTCTGCTAGTCAGTAGACGTCTTGGATTCCACTATTAAACGAAGCGAAGTTTTCCGTTTTGTTTTTGTTGCTTTTCTGTTTTGCTTGACTTGTATTCATGTTTTAGTCGTCGTTGGTGTTGGTGTTCTTTGGCCAAGTTCGGCTGCAACGAAACAGAAAATAGAGATGGGCCCATAATAACAGTAGCCGTTAAGGCCAACAGTCAACCAAAGCAATACAAAGTGTTACGCTTAAAACCAACAAAACTGTACCACATTACAGTTACATACTTGTACATTCATAGAATATATGAAGCGAAGCACCACATATCCATTTAACCTATTGCCACTTTTCTGTTTTTGGCTATTGAGCCCACGTATCACAAAAACGAAACGCCAGCTGAAGCGAATTATATTCAAAAATAACAGACAATTATATACGCATAAACATATATGTACCACCATATAACCACCAGATTTATCATATACCATATAGTATGCATCACACTTGAATGTTTTGGATTATTAGCCAAATAAAATTCTGATTTGTGATTCAACGGAAACAAATTACATCGAGCACATATGTATATACATAAGTACATACATATACTTAATTAGAAAAGAGTATAGTCTTATTGTGCATAGGAGCATAGGATACTGATGCTTTTCTAAATGATTGTTTATGCATTTATAACAGTGCTGTAACTCTATAGACCTTTTACCGGAACCCTCACTGTGGCCAAGGACTGCACTTCTCTTTGTGTGTGTGCTTGTGTGCCTTTATTACTTCTGTAGCTGTGTGGCTACAAGTATATAGCTTTATAGCTTTAGTTACAGTAGCCCCTGTGAGCTTCCGGGCATTTGCCCTTTTCAAGAATTGTTTGCCTGCCCTCTGGAGTGCTCTCCTCTGCACTCTCCCCTTTCCTTGTGCTCGCGCATTTGTTTGCAGTGCGTTGTAAATAAATTGTGTTGAAATTGTATCACTTGGCTGACCACGCATCGAGCCCACACGGCTGCAATTCCTACAACAACATCAACATACATACATATGTACATATGTATGTATGTATATACAATACAATGCCTTAAACTCGCACCGTTTACGATAGGCACCAGAAGCCCCATACGCTCACATAGGTTGACTCGCCCGTGTTCAGTTAGCAAAAGTCCATTGACAGCCGATTTTTGGTCGTTCGGCTGTTTTGTTCGTTTTGGCCCTTTTGTGACACCAAGATACAAGTGGGAGTAGTAGGGAGCACTCTGCCAACGCTCAAGTGATATCGACTTACGGGCAAAGTGCTCATCAGTTGTATCGAACAGGACACATTTGGTCAAAAGTACGAGTATTTGAGAGCCCGTCTGTGTGGGTTTGTGTGCGTCGGTGTGTGTAGGCCGCAATGGAAATGGCAATACCAATGTTTTCCAAGACCTTTGACATAGATTTGTACGAAATTGTACCCACTAGTGTAAACATTGTTAAACGTTTTTTAAAGTGTGTGGCAAATTGTTTATTTTTTGTTTATTCTAGTTGTTGTCAAAACATATTTTTCTTTCCGATTATAGTCACTAAAGAGAGCTGTGGGGGCGCGTAGGTGCGTAAATTATCCATCCACTCGTAGTTGTGTGGGCGCTCAGTTTCTTTTGAATGAATACGAGGGGTGTGTGTGTGTGTGTGTGGGTGACACATGCCAAAAAAAAAAGTTATTTAATAGAATCATAATACCCCATCCCATGGGTGTAAGAATTAAGTACAATTAATGAAGTGAGCAGCTCAGCCAACTCAACATAATAGCCACAAAACCAGATCTTAAATTGCGAAGCTTCAACCGATTATCACCCCATCTAAAGATTGAATTAGCCGAGAAACTAATTTAGACAGTTCTGTTGCAACTTTCCCTTTTCACAGCATTCTCGAAAGTGTCAGCAATCAACTGGCAGTAGACGACCTAAAGACCATGGAGAGAGGAGTACCAGAGACGACATTGTACATATTGGACCACGAGGGCTTACAGGCTGTTTCAATGAGTGGGCATGAGGGTGTAAGCGAAGCGCCGCTTTTGGTTGAGGACCTTGTGGACAATGACGTAGATCTAGATGCTGATGATGACGACATTGACGTGGACTGCGATTCGTTTGAGTCGATGGAGACGATATCGGACAACGTTTCAATTTGGATGGATGGCGAAAAGCATTGGGTATCTGGGGTCGATGCGAATACAACGTGTGCGGATCTGATCAGTGCCCTCCTCAGCTTTCAAGAGCTGGAGCAGCAGCTGCAACCTTCATCGACGCTAGACACCACTAAACGCAATGCAAATAGCGTGCAGCGAGAGCAGGAGTCTGATAATAATACCATCAATCAATCAAAAACAAATACGAAAGAGGCGAACAAGTGCTCCGAAATGTCGTTGGCAATTACACAAGAGTACGTGATTGTAAAGCAACTTCGTCACTACGAGGAGTATCTGGACGGTGGTGCACGAGTTTTTGATGTGCTGCCGGCACGTCATACGCTGGCCAGAAAAGAGGTAAGTCTTTATTGAGCTGGCACTCGCCTACCGAGAAGCGAACGAGCGTGCAGCCATCTAACTATCAACTGCTCTTTTGACACATGCATCCTTGGGCCAAATATGTCAGTCCGTTAGGCAGTTGGTGCACAGTTAACAGTTTACAGTCAGGCCTGAAAGGCAGGCCACCCTAAAATTAGGTCGCTTCATATATTGATTTGTTTCAATTACTTAATCACTTCTTAATGCACATATGCTTATGTATGACAAAAAAAAGTACATTAAACAGTACACAAATTACCTCTTTGTGTCTGAATAACTGACATGGAGCTCCCGTTGCAAAGTCCTTGCATGTCCGAAAACCTGTCCTGCTCTGACGAGCCTCTAAAGAGACAATACTTGCTGTCTCGAGGCCAAGGTCCGATGCCCTACCCCGTACAGTGCTTGGCGTGCGTATTGTAATTAGGATGTTTTTCAGTTTCGTAAGGTTTTTGTTCTCAGACATCCTGCATATAAGCATATGTACTATATGCTGAGGTAAGTCAAGAAAGAATATATTGCTTTTAGCTTCAGTACCAGCAAGCGCCGCCGGCAGAATTATCTGATGGTTATTCTTGGGGGCTTGATCATCCCACTTATCGGGTCCTCAAAGAGAATTTTAACATGTGTTTGTAGAAATCACATACGATTGCTTCAGTGTTTAGATTAGATACTTTATATGTTAAGTATTTAATTGTTGAAGTGTAAAGTCTTGAATAGCCGCATAATAATTATCAAAAGGCGATGTTCTACACTTATCACACACAGCTTAAGCTACCATATTTTAAAAATCCCTCCTTCCACAATTTCATGTGTTAACTGCACACTAACAGTTTCAGTACTAAACGTGTGTTTGTTCGAATTTCTTTTATGCTGTCGCATGGCTTTGTCTACACACTATTCACGAACAAAGTGCGAGCTGCTGCTGCGACATTTGGGGGCACTGCCACTGGGACAGCCAAAGACAACAGTGACAGCGTCAACAGAAGTGGCAACAGCTTCACCCTCTCCGAACAGCAACAATAAAGTATCCTCATTGCTATCTACGGATAAGGACAGCGGCATGGGCAGCCCGATGGGCAGCTCGCGAAGCGCACGTTTTCGACGACGTGGTAAGCACAGAGCAGCGACAGGGGCGGTGGCGGTGGCAGCTGCAGCCTCAATGACAACCAAATTGGCCCACTGGTGGGGCACGCAGGGCAATGGCAACACGGTGCATCCAAAGAGGAACAGCCAGATACAGCAAAATCAGCGCCAGGAACAGACGCTACAGCCACAGCAAACTCGCTATAATGCATGTCCAAATGAACGCCTAATGAAAATTATTTTGGCGCAGGACGAAACCATACACAGGCAGTTGTCCTTGTTGCGGTAAGTTTCAAAATGTGTTGCTATACAATGGGTGACGGGCATACTAACTAAGGAAGCGCTTCACAGACTACAGCATGCTTTAATGTCTATAAAATTTCTCTAAAACACTCATATGCCTCCATTTCTTTGATTTTATCATTCCCCGATCGCCTACCCCACCCGTTTGGCTCACACCCCTCAGCGAGAAGGAACGACAAATCTTGAAAATTGAAGAGGAAAAACATCGTGTACGCGAACGTGAGCTGGGTAAAAATTATCTGCTCGAGACATATTTGAATGCTCTGGATGAGGCGGAGTACGCCAATCTGAATGCACAAGCGATTGATGCGAAAGCGCCTCGAGCCACATTGACGATGACGGCGACGCCTACGACGCCCGTGACGAGAAGACTACAGGCGGGAGATACAGATTTCTCTGGTGTTGCGCATGGAGAGCTAGGAGCTCACATTTTTATAGGTAAATTATAAATATTGTGAAAAGCGAAGCGTTTCGTAGCACCTCGCTATGTCGGGTCCATGCTATCGAGTTGATTAATGCGCTTCTACGCCTGCATTCTGCAGTCGAGCAGGCACGTACGTACTTCTATTGTTTAAGGCAGGAATCGAATCATCGGTCGCCAATGGACGCCAATAGCCGGCTGTACTTCAATGGTCATTGCTACTAGACCTTTCTATGATTTGGATTGGCTTTTGACATCACAAGCTTATTACTGCTAGTTTCCCCCTGAGAGCCTGATAACACAACAAAAAAAAACATAAAATAAACAAGAAAGGAATGCTAAAGTCTCCAACAAAAAGGAAATTAATTTAATTTAATTAATTAATTAATTTAATTTAATTAATTAACTAAATTAAATATAAAATATTCCATACATGCACACATGCAGTTACATTTACATCAGAATCGTGCCTATGCGTGTATGTGTATGTATGAATGTGTGCATTGGGCCTGGTTATATGGCTATAACTTTCTTTCTGATCAACTTATCATAATGAAACTTGGTATACGGATATATAATCACTAACTGGATGTGTCTACTTTAGTTCAAAATTCCAAGAATTATAAGGAGTTATAGAAAATCTTGAATAGTGGGGGAGTGGAAAAAATAACAAAGTCGTCCTTTCTCCGGCTCAGGTGAATCTGTATACCAAGTTTGGTTATTCTAGCTCTTATACTTTCTGAGATCCTTGCCTTCATACAGACAGACAGGACACGACTCGGCTTGTCATGCTGATCAAGAATATATATACTTTGTGGGGTCTACCACTCCTCCTTCTGTGTGTTCCATGTACACTCGCACAAAACTAATATACCCTTGTACCCTTTGGGTACAGGGTATAAAAATCAAGTTAGACAGTTTAACAGTACATACAGACGAGTTTATACAGGTGAAAAGGTTAATTGAAATAGGTTAAAGAAAGCATACTATTTAAACATTTTCTCTGGCAGATTTCCATTTTGGGGGAAAGTAGCTGCGATTTATAATTCGTGGGTATTTCCATAGATCCATTTTTCAAAATGAGCTCTCTATCATCTTAACTTGGCTATCTTTTAAATTAAGCATTGGCAAGAAGTACACACCATCTACATACATATATATTCCTAGTAGGTACGATTGTGGCTCACAGTTGAAATTGTTGAGGAAACTCAGGCTCAGACAGTCCGTAGCTATATTGTTGTCGCTGTAACAACAAAAACACAGCCAGATGGACGCATGTACGAGTGTGTGTGTGTTTATATGTATGTGAATACATATTTGCACAATAATAAATTGTAAATTAAGGCTCTTTCGTCGTCATGCTGGCTGCAAGGTTCGTTTTTGTGCGACTCACACTGCACGCTGCTGAATAATACAAATGTGGTATCCTTATATCAGTGTGTATGCACATATATAAATACATATCCTATATAGATATGCATGTTTGTGTGAATATGCTTCCGACTCGTCGCGGCTAGCAGGTAAAATGCTCGAGAGTGTATATTCTTCATATCTGTCAGCTAACAAGCATGCATATGCATGCATTCGAGCATGTCTGTATGTGTTCGCTGTTTGCCGCAGGACATATAGAATACGCAACGAAACCCAAACAAAAGTCGTTATTAAACTTGGAAATGATTTTACAACAAGTTGTCGGTGTGTGGAGCGCGGGGGCGCAAGTTTCATAAACATATGAGCTGTGCCCAAGGACAGAAAAGAAATCTGCTGGGGTACGCACGACTATGGGTTTCTATGAGGCATTGAACTACCTTCCGGCAGCTAGTTTATTAAATTTGCACATACGGCGCAACTACGAGTATAACCACATTTCCCTTTCCAGATGAGCCCTCCATGCCACAACCCCAGATGGAAATGGGGGCGGTCACAGCTGCAGAAAGTACTGCCATACCTGGGGGACTAGAGCTGCAACCGCTTCGTAGTGGATGCGCCACCGGAAATGCGTTCGTTGCACACAATGGGGCCGCACCAACGGCGGCAGTATCCGGAAATGAGGCAATGGCGGACGTCGATGCCGCCATCGCAGACGATTTACAAATATATTGGCTGGAAAAGATATATGCAGTGAATAAGCAACTGCAACGGGATGAAGAACTGTTGCTGCGATTGCATGCCAAGGTGCGCAAGCATCAGCTTAAGCGGGCCTATCAGACCAAGAGTGAGGTCCTGCAGCAAATCGACAAGCTCGACTCAGAGCTTGCAGCACAAGTGGCCGATATACATGGCGTGGAACGCAAACTCCTGACGGCCAACGAACAGCTGAAGGCTAAACTGGGAGTTCTGGAGTTCCTCAGTCGTGAGTTCGTTGATAATTTGGAGCAGGACGACGTGATTGAGACTCAGGTCGACAGTACCAAGTTGTTGGCATCCAACCAAATGAACTCAGCGCGAGACTTGCAGGACTTGCGCCAGTTAATCGCAAAACCAACCCCAACACCTCAAGGGCAACCAACACATCCAGATAGTCCTGTGGATGCAACACACCAAAGCCAAAACAATGAGAACACCACGAAGCAACGTCAGCTGCAGGAGCAAATTATTATTGATAAGAACACACATGCGCCGCAGTTGGCCGACGCCAAGAATGTGAAGAAACAAATGTTTACGGCGACACAAAGTGTGGCGACATCAACAAGAGCGACGGCAGCACCAATTGTGCCGACCATCAGTAAGCCTACAACAAAACTGCAACAGTGTCATCCAAACGCCGTGGCGCCTCTATTATTGTCAGTCCCACAGCAGCCTCACCAACACCGTGAATCCGCCGCCGCGCTCTCCGTTGGCCATTGTGCAAAGCCGCCGATGCCTTTGGCCGGGTTCCTGCCAAGGTCGGAGTTCACGGATATCACCACTCTGGGCACGCTCGTGTGAACTCGGCTAAGCGATTAGAGGGGTGCACTGGTGTTGTGCAGAAATTCCATTTTGGCAGTGTAATTTCGGGAACGAGTTGATGCAAGCAATGGCGAGGGAGTGCGTTTTATATTATATCTATAAATATTTGAATACAGGCACGTTTCTGAAATGTATTAAATGTTTCGTACCAAATTAATGTCAATTAACCAAAAAATAAATTAATATGTTACTTAAGAATGCAAGTAATGCATTATCGTATTGAATACACAACTGGTGTCTGAGTTAGCTGTTATCTTAGTATCTGTTGGATTTGATTGAAGTGTATCTAAAATACATTTTGTGGATGCTTGTATGGATGTTGTCTGTACCATTATCAACTCGATATTTGCGCATTCATTACGTGGCTACATTTTTCTTTGACAAGCGTGCATACGAGTTCCAAGCGCAAGATAAAGATATTTTTAATATTGGGATTTTCAATTATCTCTCTTTCGCAGCCCACGTTGTATGCAACAGTTCTTGTTGCTACTTGCTGCCTTGTTTGCCTGGGTCGATCGGGGTCAATACAAATTAAAGCCTACATTTCGGCAGAATAGTAAAAATAAAATTGAACACTTTGTGGAATAACAAGCAAGATTTGCTCAACCACCGATCTCTTCGAGTTTGAATCTGAAGAGCCGGTATCAGTTCAGTGTGTGAACGCATATTTAAACCATAAATTATTGCCATGATTGTTGTGAGAAGTCAGTACTAGTAGTATCAATCAGTAAAGTAGACTTTTGCTTATGTAAATCGTCTTTTATTTTATTTTAGTTTCTTTAGTTTCAATTTGATGCTCTCTGCTGCTTAAAATGCTTTGCTTTTGGGTTTCCTTTTGCTTTCGTCATTTGACACTTTATAAACTGCCATTATGAATTTTGTTGGTTGTTGTTGGGCCGATTCGAATGACGCTATTGAAAGGTGTTTGTGTAATCAATAAGTTGTTGTGTGTATTTATATTCCTTGTTGATTTGGTTATTTCTAAGTACGTTTTATTCTCGCTTACAATAAAATACCATAACACACAGTAATCTTTTGCAATTTGTTTTTTAGTTTAAATTGTATCGCGTATTTATTTTTATTTCCTTCGGGCATTATAATTAATGCTTCTGCGAACACATCACATGATACATAGTTGCGTTTATATGTATATACTTATGTATGTATGTATGTATGTAGGTGAGTATAAGCTGTGGCGCAATTTTCAGTCCACTCATGCTCCGTAAATATTATATATGTATGTATGTGTGTATGTATCTTACATTCCTGTATACTTGTATAACAAACTTCTCGTATCTGCGCCTTTCCGTTTAGCATTTGTTGCAGATTTAACATAATTACATTACGTTAAATACATACATACGAGTATAAGAATTGTGCAGTGTTTGTCTATGAAGATAAGTCGTCAAGTTCTTCGCGATGTATAACTAATTTACTTACTCTTACTTATGTTTTTGTACAAATTGATGCAAACAAACAAACCAACAATTTAATTGTAAAAACAATCGAACAATTATAATTTAAACAATTTCAATTTTTTAGCTATTTTCAATAACTCTACTCTGCCATCGGCAAAGATAAATGAAAAGAGAAACTGAAAATATCTGAACAGTCAACAAACAAATGTTGAAAGCAATCCGCAGTTGTTAAAATCAGCTTATGTATTTTTTTACAATTACTCATTGCATCTACGTATATATATAAAAAATACGTGTTTTGTTAAACACTTCTGGGCGTTCTGTCTTCAATTTGTTAACTTTTACCTATGCGTGTGTGCTGAGCAGTAATTGAACAGTAACAGCAATAACAGCAGTAGGAAATGTAGTGCAATCGTATTGCTCAAGGTTGTGTGTGTTGCCCCACCGTGATGCAGTTCCGCGAAACTTTCGCCTGCTCAAGCAAATGGGGAAGAGACGGAGGGAGAGAAATAGATGGAGAAGAGGAAAGAGTGAATAGAGAGATTTAAATAGTTTCTTAAAGTTCTCCAACAGCTGCATTTGCAGCACTATCGAAAAACTTTCTTACCGTTTAGAATGTGCACCACTATTGTGAAGTTCTGGAAATCGCTAATTGAGCACGTATAGTTGCCCGAATCGGCTTTATTTATTTTGGCTATAAACAGTGTTGAATTGGCGCCATCGTCCATCAGTTCGGTCTTTACGCTGTTGTTGTTGATGTAGTTATGGAGGAGAAATATGAGAAGAAACCAATTCGAATTCTATAATCAGCTAGGTACAGATTACACAGACTGCACGCACCTTACGCCTCCACGAGTCACGTCATAGTTCAGAATATCCTCTCCATGTTTCCAGTACACCACCGAGCTGGTCATAGCTACATTTCGCACTACACACGAAAGCTGCAGGGTTGAGTCAATCTCATAATATTTCTCTTGCAAGGGATCGCCATATTCATCGACTATCATGACCTTGGGAGCTGAAAAACCGGGGTAACAGATTACAGGTAAATATTCAAGTGCTGAGGATTGAATGCTCAACTCAAAACTCACCGTTTACGAGCAAATTAATTTGTATGACTCGTGGCGGATGGGTGGAAATCTGGCACTCATACTGAGCTTCATCGTCCTTCTTCACATTCGTTATCTTGAGGCGCCAATTGTTGGGATATTGAAACTCCATCTTATAGCGCTTATCGCCTGTATAGGTGTGCAGGCCCACTGTCAGAAGATCCAAGGCGTTCTCCTCCCTCTGCGCATTGCGACGCACCCACGAGACCTGAAATCAAGCAGCAAGCAAATAGAGCGTTGCATTGCCAGAGTTAAGTTCAGTTGCATGCATAATTAAACGTATAAAGAAAAAACAAGTAAATGCTGATGCTGATACTGGCTGCGAGCTGAGTGCTGAGCACAACGGCCCCTGAGGGCGGTTAAAGCCTGCGGCTTTGCTTAAAATTTGGCACAGTCGCAAGTCTGCCCTTTTTGTTGTTGTAACAAGTCAGTGTGGTATGCATTAAGGACTCGTACCTGTCTGATACAGTGACACCTGTGAGTGCTTATACATATACTTGTAGTATATGGGTAGGTGGTACTCGTACAGATATACAATTGTTTATATACTTACAGTCTTATCTTGGAGCAAAGAAATTCTGCAATTCAACAAAATGCTGCTGCCTGCTTGTACAGTCATGTTTGTGGGCTGCCCTATACGTTGTGCGTCCTCGAAGTGCGGTCCATATCTACAACACAAAGAGTGAGGTGAAAATAAATTGAAGCAAACGCAATATAAATATACAAACAATTTTACAAAAGTTCAAGTACACGTAAGTGTTCTTCTTGGCTTTTTAAATAAAATTCAAACGTTGCGTTTTGCAACAAGGCGCAGTTTCTGGTCGTTTGTTGACCCACGTGCGGTCAAACTTAGTCTTGCCTATTGTTTATACAATTGTAATCATAGAACTCAAAATACGCAACATACTCATACATACGAATATACTACTTATATGGATATATCTTCCTTATTTGATGTCTCAGCTTATTCATACTACATATACTTTGTCATGAGGGCAATTTGTTGTGGAACTGCTACACGCTGATGAAAATACATGTATTGTCTAATCTTTTAATAAGCCCAACCATGAACTTGACCGTCGGTGCTAGGGATCAGGGAATATTTTAAGGATTCATGGATCATGTTTTTATGTGTGTATATAGTATATTTATATTTATTTTATTTGTAAACAGCCAAGGCTTGCATAAAGGAGAACTAAAAAATTAGTAATTTCCTTGTTGCTGTTGCCATTGTCGTCGTTGGCCAAGTTAATAGCTCAATGGCGCAAAAAGTTAGGCTAAGTCGCTCGACTGCTCAAATTCGCGGGCGCCCAATTTAAACATCTTATACTTTGTTCCACCTCGAATGATTGAAACCATTTTTCACTTGAAAGTATGAAAACACTAGTATACATATATGAGTGTGTAGAGAACACACCCAAACAAATGAGCCCACACAACAGTGACTGACCTACATACATACATGTATGTACATGCGCCTATACATAGCGTATATAGCTATATGTGAGCATGTAACTGGAGGGCACACTTTCTATTGTTATTTCCCTTCTTTTTTTGTTATATATACGGGTGTATATAGTGTCGATTGAATCGCTTGGTTGTTCTTTCTGTCTGTTGTGTGCTGTCTACTGCCCGCTGCCAACTGACACATGTTGATGGCCCGAACTCCCCCACTCGAATAAATAAACAGACGCCCACTTACCTTTGATCGTGGTGATGATGTTTGTTCGCCGATGAGAACGTATCGAATATATAGTTCAGCATGGGCGCATCAGTTTTCTGCTGCTTTGGCAATATATATTTGCTTTCGACCTTTTTGGCGGAAGTGCGCACGTTGGATTTGTTACTTCCGGCTGATATCGCTGCGGCCGTCGTCAATGTTGTCGTTGTTGCTGGAACTGGCGCTGACATCATTGTGCTCCCAGCGGCCCCGTTGCCATGCCTAGCTGTCGCCGCAGTCGCTGGAACTAAGGCATTAACTTTTTGTGTCCCAATTTCTTGAAACGTCGCCGAAGCCGATGCACCGCCTGGGATGCCGCTGATGGCATTTTTTTCGCTTGATGCGACGTACTCGTGCTGTGCTTGGGTCGTTGTTGCTGTTGTAGATGCTGTTTCTGATGATAATGATGTTTGGCTTGCGCTTAATAACGATAAGGATAATAAATCGCGATTTTTTTCATTTGCCTGTCGCTGCTGAGTGGCAAGCACTGTCGTCGTGTTTGTTCTGGCTGTTGCTGTTTCTGCTGTATAGCCACTCTGTTCGTTCAGCGTGGGCGTTTGGGCCATGGCTATGACGTAATCAACGCCAGCTGCCACCAGCTCAGCATCCACAGCGGCTGCAGCATCATCGCCGTCAGCCTCGATGGCAGCATAGGAATTATCGATTTCATTGGAGTCTAAATGGCCAAAGAGGATTGCAAGAATTACAAAAATTAAATTGAGCGCTTAGCGGAAAGCTCAACTGCAGGTACTCCTACAATGTGTATTATGAGCTGTGTGGACATGAGCTTAAAATAATAAATAAAAACTTGTAGCACAGCGTACCATTTTTATTTACGTTTAACCCATGGCTAGCTACAGAGAGATTAAGCTTGATGTGAAATAAACTATATGTTCTTATTATTTATCACATTTTATTTTACGGAAAACTAATGCAGATAAAATATTGGCATGTCTAAGTTAGTATTTAAAACTTTCTTTTAATCAACTATTAAAATATATTGCAAAAATATATATATTTAATATTTTGAATAAGCTGGTTTTGGATGATGAGCCGAGAATCATTTCAACACCTTCAGCAAAATGAAATGTAAAAAAATTAGCGTGGGTATGAAACGAATAAAAATTCAGATTGCGTTTAAATTAACATTTTTCACTTTAACTTTAATTTAATATAGTTTTATTTGGGTAGTGAGTTTGCATTAAGAAGAGAACTTCTATAGGTTTTCAAAGGTCTACACGTTTAAACAGCTATGCGAAACAATAGAAGTACACATTGAAATGCAATATCTGTAAATTGAAACATTATAAAATATGCTTGTTTTTTAAATATGTAGCTTAATTTAATCACTGAACAAATTTTGAACATTTCGAAATTCGTAGTATTTTTTTAATAAATACATTTTTTATTTGATAAATTTAAAGATTTTTAAAAATACAGTCATATCTAATAAGGGCTTGTTGTTTGAATTTTATTCGCCCGGCTTCCCTTCAAACCTCTACAATTGTAGATGTTTTTTATATTACACCCCCTATATTACTTATAATATCAATTTATTTATTCTTTTTATGTGCTTTTCTGCGCTTCTTTGCTCCCAAAAAAGTATGCTATGCCTTTTCTTGTTTTGCTTTGATAATACAAGAAAAGAAAACTTTTTAAACATGATTGGAATTGGTTTTTTAAAGGTCCAACTCGTTGGTTTAGGTTCATTACAATAAGCCATTCACGGCTTTGAAGTTAATTATAAACCAACATCAAGGAAATATATTTATATTAATAAAACAATATGCAGCAAGGACCAACAGCAATAGAAATTAATTCATCTAAAACATATTAGGCTGTCATAAAAAATGTAATAATTACAATCATATATATAATCATATATATATTTAGAAAAAGTCTGTGGATGAAAGTTCTTCATTGTTGACTGAAAAAAAGAACCTTCTTATATTAAAACGGAAATTGACTCATTAAATTATTTAATATTTCAAGCTTACAAATTACTGTAACTTTGGCCACTTCATGAGAATTAGCTTATGCTTTATCCTTGACCTTTAGACGGTTTTGGCAACCTTTAGCAGTTGCCGATCTGCTCATGGTGTTTTCTTTGTACCCCTCAGTCTAGCGTACAATCAAAGTAAACCAAATAGCTTGGCTTCCTGACGAGAGCATTTACAATATCAAAATTTTAAGAGCAGGCAACATACAAAGCATCAAGGCAAATGTTAATTGCAAAACCACAAAGTAAACATTAGAAATCCAAGTTAATTAAAACGTAAAATATGCATGAATTGTAAATTACTTTCTAGCTTACACAACTTTTCACAAGGAGTACGGTTATAAGTGCAAATATTCAAGGAATGTTGTCAAAACCTTTGCCGTAAGTAGCCCAGAAGTTCAAAAAGCATTGCAAAGCACTTTTTCAAAATTGAAATAAGGGATTTAAGAAATATATATGGCATTGGGTACCACTAGAACTAATAACAGAGAACATCATTCAGCGTTTAATGTTTAAACGATTTCCAAATAAAATATTAGTTTCCAAGTTGTGTCTTATTCTGACAGTGTATTATTTGAAATAAAATGGTCTGTATGTTACCCATAATATAGGAATGGGGGAGAAAAAAATGAACACCAATGCGTATTATGTATGTATGTAATGTACGTTAGGACATCGCAATGAAAATCCGCCCGCCCACTTACCACTTAGCCTGTCCCGCAGAGTCGTGTGCAGCACATTCGAAGTACTGGGCGGTGCGGCTGTTGACAATGTGAGACGCAATGTGGTGGATGTTGATGCGGTTATTGGGGCAGTGGTCTTAACTGTTACTGCCATCGCTTCCGCTGCTGCAAGAAGTTGCTCCAGCTGCTGTACATAGCTGCGTGCGCTTTGAGCCTCCATCGACTCCATTCCCGTACTAGTGACATGCATGGCTTTCGCTTCCACAACAAGCAATCCGCGGCCCAGACCGTTTAAGTTGCCGCTGCCAGTCCCAATAATTGTTGTGGTCAAAATAAGTAATTGCATTAAATGGCGTATGAAGCTTTCGATTTGGCGTGTTGGGGCTGATACTGTTGCCACTTCTGCTCCTGCTGCTGCTGCTGTTGCTGTTGATTTTGTTGCTCTCGAATTGGCTCGTTTGGTTTTGTTTATGTTGCTACTGCTAGTGCTTCGGTTGCTGTTGACTTTGAACGTTTGCTTGGCTTTTGTTTTTATGCGCGTTGTTGTTGCTGTTGCATTTAAACGCATTTTGTGCTTTTGAACTTCGGTTTTGAATTCGATTTAGCTAACACACATTTCAGTAACTGCATTTGCTCACGTTTGCTTCTGAATCTCTGAACTCTGTTATTTTCATTTATTCGCACTCAACCCACGGTTCGTTGCTGGCGTTGTGGTTGAAGTTGCTTTCAGATGCACGCAGCAGTAGTGGGTCAACATTTTTATTTGTTGTGTATTTTTCATTTGCATGTAATATTTCATTAACTCTTTAGCTGATACACTTTACGTTTTATGAGTTAGAAGTGAAAATAAATTAAAATTTGAATCAATGTGTTTTGCCTATGGAACTTCGATTTAACGCAATCAATGACTGTCTCATGTATGCGATCAATTTGCTATTCATTTACAATTGTACACATGCATACAAGTCCTTTTACATATATCCACATTAAATTAGCTTTGTATATGCGCACCCGATTTTGTGAATTTATGACCTATACGAGTATGTGTGTGCTCATATGACTCTTCAAATTCCGCGTCACTCACGTCTGGTCTACTTTATCCCCCTTTCCATCCCATTTACCCCTCACAAACGGTGCGGGCTGACTCAGATTTATGTATGACATCTGCCATTATTTTGCTGTGACACATAACAAATGCAACACGCAGAACGCTACACGATAAGCCAGAGTGGAGCTCGATTTCCATGCAGAGCTTTATGTTTTCGCAGGATCCCACTCATTTTCCTTGTAACATGATGGTATTTATTTATTTAGCTGCCGTTGCCAAGGCAACCCTTCGATTTCTCAGGACGTCAGCCTACGCCTACATAGGTCGTTTCATTTACCTTCGGACTGACCTGAAAATTTTGACATCGATCTAAAGTACATGAAATTTAAATCCGACATCCCTGTTAGTAATATGCAATCTACTTCTTTCCTTGTGCTTAATCTATAAGTCAATCATTTGTACGAATAAAACGGTCCGAAAATCAGCTAACGCTTTATTTTTCTCCAAACAACCAAGCCAGCCTCATCGTCAACAATGCTGGTTCCAAAATCTAGGATACGTAATATTGGAACTGAAATAAAGACAATAATAAAATAGGCCGAACAATTTCGAGTCACAATAAAAAAATGTTCTCCCGACCGTCGAATGAAAAAAGCTACACTTGCAAAACCGTTACATCTTTTGTTTTATTGCCTTTTCCGTTGGGAATATTTTGCCTTTTGCTCAAGCAATTTTATATTGAGCGATTGTTGTTAGGTACTGCGCTTAACACTCACAGCTGACGCTTTTGCGACAGGGTCTACAAAATGTGGCTCATCTATTCCCCGCTCTTTACGAACTTTCGATTTTTTTCTTGTTGTTTTCTTTTATGATTTCCTTGAGGCGCTTTATAAATTTATACTCTGCTTGAAGTAAAACATTTTCATATGCGCGCGGGCTAACTCGCACAACTCCTACACAAAATAACATTCCGGAATGTCCTTGCCGCATACTCATTGATCGGTGGAAATGGTGGCCTTATCAGTTGCACACATTTTATTTGAAAGCAACTGGAGTTCTAATTGCATGTTATTTTAAACAATTTTTGTGGTACGTTTTACACACACAAACACAATCATTGCATTCGAGTTTCAAATAACATTTGACGTCGCGTTCGCTTTTTCAATATGACTTGGAGATTTTTGAGATTGAATGCTGCGTGCACACGAAAAACGTCAGGACGCGATAACACTTCGTTTATGACTGGCTTTTTGAAATCAGCCAAATAATTGTTAATGCTGGGGATGGTTTTCCTTTCTTCGGCTCGGCTCGGTTCGTTCAGATTTGCGTGAGAGCGTACGTTTGGCTTCGTTCAGTTTCACATGTCTCCTTCATAATCTGTGGTGTTTTTGACGAGTGGTGGGTATAATTTTTCGAAGCCCAGCAAGAGTCGTTTTGGTATAAAGCCGGCAAAGCAGTGTTTTCCTACCCCCCTTATAGAAGTATATGTACTTTGTAACATTTGAAAGGAAGTGTATGTCTGTAAATCTATCCATTATTAAATCTATCTCTCCTCAAAATGTTTTATTAAGGTGCTGCGATGCTTCCTTATGGGCATTAATAATAGCTTAATAAAAGAAATTTATCAAATTTCAAAAATATGTTTTGAATATAATATAACTTTAATTCAAGCCAATGAGAATTCCGCACTAAAAGGGAATATAAATTTTATAGACGGTACATTATAAATATGCCAGTGTCATGTTATACGATTAGTTTGTTGTATACATATGTGCTATAAATGGCAATTTTAGGTAAGGCGTGTTATACTTATAACATATAAGTATAAATATGCCAGTTTCGTGTTATAGTTTAATGCGGATAACTTTAACGTTTGGTTAGCAAAGACAGGCACCACGTTGTCTAAACTCGCAACAGAGGGCGCTTCTTATCTTTATACCAATTTTTCAATGCGAGAAACAGTTACGACTCATTTTGAAACGGTTTCTGAGATATTTCCTAAGAGAGAGAAGAGAAACAGCAAGAGAAGAGGTGGTCCAACCACCAAACTAGCAAGCTGTGCCACAATTTCAACTGCTTCTTATCAGAAGTGCGCGGATGCTGCTCCTGACTAGACGACGGTCTTTAGCTGAATAGCGCCTGTATCTGTTAATGCTGATTAATGCACGAATTATACACACACAGACACGGGAAGTGAGAGTTAAAAAAGCTAAAGTGCTGCTTAATTTGTATATTAATCAAAACGATATATGCACATATATACAAACAAATTTCATATGTGACGGCAACAACTGACACTGGTATACATACATACGTGTTTATCTGTGTATGTGCATCCAAGCATAAATTCAATGCAATCAATTAAAAACCGTTTTAAAAAAACAATGGCCCACTCAAACTTCAACGCGACGTGTTAAAGATTAAATTTAATTATTTTGTGAACGGGTGTGTGAAGAAAGAAGCGCAAGAAGCAAGGGCAAATTAACAAGTGAGCAATTAAGTAAATTACTCGAAATTTGCGCTAAAAAGTAGGCAACATTTCAGCGTCTCTACTTAATTTTACTTTTCTTTCTGTTGTACATGTGTCTAAACAAACACACGAACATACTTATTTAAATAGACACTCAAAGCTTGTACTTGTACATACACTTATGCTTCCAGAATGATAACGCTTTGTTAAAGTGAAAAAGTTAAGCTAAGTGGTTTAATGTGTGTATTTGCATTTAATGCTGTTCTGCTTCAGGCAATTTAAAAGTATGTTTTAGGCTTTACGCCCGTAATTGCACCCCTGTCTCAATTGGGGATCTGCATTAAGATATAATTTTCCCTGTACACAAGATGTCTCATAGTTTTAAATGCTTTGCACATTCTGATAACAATTAGCATTGAATATTTATCTCGTGGAACTTCTTCTGTATATGCAGTAGATGGGTATGTACCGATGTATTATATGTATGTGTGTACATTGGACGAGCTTACACAGACCTTTTTATATTATGTCTGTATATATTTATGTTATGTACATTTATTTGTATGTGTACACCTGCCACTTGACAATGTCAACCATCAACCATCAACCAGTGTGGAGGGTGGAGAGTGCACCATTGTGGGTGCTTGTTATAAAACTCGCAGTTATTATTATGTTCGCCCATTCAACCGCTCGACGCGACTAGCGAGCGAGCGACGTGCCGTGAGCTTATTTTGTGTTAATTGTTATATGGCCGCATTGGGAACGCGGCGTTGGCGGCTATCGTGTTATGCGTCGGTTTCAGTTGCTCAGAAGTACTCTCGGTGTGGCCCTGCCACAACTACTTGAGTCTTGTCATCTGGTCGCCTTCTGTGCCAGCTCTTTTCTTTCTTACTGACATTGTTATTTAGTGTTTCGCTTCTATTATTCATGATGTACTCGTAGGGCATGTCGTTACTCGTTCTAAGATTTTTCTTCAAGCTTGCGGCTTGTGCACCCAAAGAATCGCGACTTCACCAGCGTTCACAATTTACAGCAACAACAGGTGGATGTGGCTGTTTTATTTATATCCTTCATCAAAAAGTAAAAAGCGGTATTGGTTTTGTCTCGTCAGTTTGCTTTGCCCAGAAGAATAATACCACATAGGTTCATAAATATAAAACAGCACGACCAGACGTTTTCAGACCAATGTGTCGAGAACAACCATGTCAGATAACTATATCCTATAGCTGAAAGGATATGATTTTAAAATAGTTGTTGCAAGGGGAATGTTGAGTGTTTTGATATTTTGACATCACTCGTAGCTCACTATTGAATGGGCATGCATAACCATGCATAATAGATAAAAAATGATTTCTATTCAAAGCTTCGATAACAAATACAGATACAAAGAGATACGAAACGCTACGTAATAATATAAAATGCACCCTCCATTGATATAAATCGCGGTGCTGACAAAAATAGATTTTTATAAACAATACCCATAGAGTATAAAGGTATACTAGTTATTTATAATTTTCGATGGAAAGATACTATGTTTATTTTGTAACTTCCTTGTAAACTGTTACTTGTTTGCAGATTTGCAAAACTTAAAAAATAGAAAATATATTTCAAGCAAGAAGATCGCCCTAAGCTTGGCTACATTTTAAGCTTTACCTTTATGCGAAAATTCTTTTTGAAATTGTAAGAGTTAAATATAATTTCCTGAAATCCTGCACTATTAAATAATACCATATATTTTTTTGCTCTGGAATTTGTACCTTGCTCAAAGGTTTATTTCTTTTATACATACAAATAGACGCCGATGTAATGCCTTCACGTCGAAGCGGTGGGGGTGGAGGAGGCACCACACGACGCAAACACTCGCTTGGAAATCTGCGACGAGCACATCCTGCCTCTGGAGCAACATTTAATGTTCAAGTGGTTCGTGGAAAGATGTCGTCCAAGTGCTTGTGGCACGCCTGTCGCGCGCTCATGCTAGGATTGACGCTAATGCTGCTGGGCGTTGGGATGGCGACTCTGGGCTACTATGCGGAGCACTTGTCAGTGGGCTCGGAGCTCCGGGAAAATGTGACAGTGCGCGTGAAGAATGATTTGAAGGGATTCCATCTGAACAACTTTTCATATGTAGGACCCATTGTCATGGGATTTGGTGGCTTCATAGTAGTTGCTTCGTGTGTGATGACCTTTGAGGCTCGCGACTCGGCGGCAAAGGTGGTACCTGCGCGTCTTCGTGGTGCTGCCGCCGGCAACAACAAGACGAATTCTCGTAGCAATCAAGGAAGCTCCGCATCGCAGAGACGCGGAATGGGTAAGCAGTTAAATAGTAGATTTTTAATTTTTTTATCTTAAACTATTTTCGATGTTGTGTTTCGATGCTTCGAAGATAAAAGCGACTCGTTCATTTTTGTTGACTAATTAATTGTTGCAATTTCAAATTGTCTGTTATGTACACGTACATGAGGCTTATTCGGCTTCGACACGAGGCTTATTTTATGGATTAAGATTCCAGAAAATGACTTTATGGTTATTTATTGTTGGTTACTTGTAATGTTCCATTTGCTCTGTAGGCGCACAGTATCAGTCATCGCGCTGGGATCAGCAATTTGGTGTTTTTCGGTCATCACCTGGAGATGCGCACCAACAACAACATCCTGGCGGCGCCAGTGGACCACATCAGCAACCCTTTGATAGGGAGGCGCTAACTGCTGAGCTTGTCAAGTTCTCCAAGTCCCTCAGGTATTGTTCATCCCCAGGCCATGTGAATGTGACGACAGTAAAGAACCACTCATAAAAATCAAATTAAAATCCACATTTGAAATTGGCAGTATCGTCATCAGTCACTCACTCGCAATCTTTCTCTGTTTCTCGGTCTTGTTTTTCAATTTCCATCTGCTATTATTTTGTTGCCGTCATTAGCGCAACTGCACGTTTTTCGCCACAACTTCGCCGCCTTACCTACACAGGTTCTGTGCCCAACCTGTCTGACATACATGAACATACCCATCCACTTGCGTGCACCACTAATTTCTCACATTTGCTCTCGCCGAATGATAAAACTCCTTCCTCGGTGTTGCTGCTGGAACAACAACTTTGCAACAAACGCCACCAACGACATCGCAATTATCAACACAACCATCACAATCCCTGCGCCTGTCCGCGACGACTACATAACAAAACCTCACACAAAAAATCCTTGAGCAGCAGCGTCCGCCGTGTTCGTCAAACGCGCGGAGGGACCGGTTCCGGATCTACCCGCATTATTAGCAATTCTTCTAGTTTGATTCAAAGAGCTACACGGGAACATGCGACCTGTTCTCTTCTCCAGCCACCGTCGGCGAATCGCGTCTACTGGCAAGCTTCTTCCTTTGACGGAAGTGGTGCTGTGAGCAGCGGCATGGTAGGAAACGGCATCACTGGAAGCGAAAAACGAGCCGAGCGCAACAAGCGCTCGGACACAGCCAAGCGACACGTTCTGGCCCGCCAGCGTCCCATTGAGTCTCCTTTAGGACAAAGGCGGTAGGTGATGCTAAGTTATAGCCTCTAATCAAAGCTAATCTAATTAAATGCCTTGCAGTAACTCGACCATGTCAGACTCCTCATATAGTGGTCGCTGGACGGCACGTTGTGCATCCTTAGCCAGTCGCACCTCTAGCATTGATTCGCGTCGTGTACAAGTTGATCTACATAGTCCAGAAATCATACCAAAGTCAATACTACGCTCACCAAAGCGCTATAACTGCGCACCCTCCGCCACACCGTCGGTGGAGAAGGAGTTTCGGTAACTATAGTACAATACTTTCTTAAAAGCGATCTCTTAATAGCAAGCTGTAATGAAAAGAATATCTTGACAATAAGATGTATATATAATATCCAAGCCTATTTCCGAACAATCATATTTTGGTTTTTTTCTATATCCTTATCTATATACACTAAGTATGTATATGATCTGAATCGTAACTTTGTTTCCTTTTTCAAAAATATAACATACAAACAGCAGTCAGCTCTCCGTGTGTTCTGAGCCACCACCACCGGTACGACAACTCTCAGGTCAGTCCAGTATGGAACCTTCCGTGCCGGAGGAGAGTATTGAACTGCTCGAAGAACGTACAGGCCCAGGTGTACAGTCCAATAGTGAAACTGAACTGCCCACGGACGCTCTAAGCATCTCCCATGATGCCACCTACCGTGAGATTCCAGAATTGCCACAGCATGCAAATATCCTCCCACCGAAAAAAACGCGCCCGGACTCGCTGCCTCTGGCCAAGTCCAATATAAAACAGTCTCAGTCCCAGCCACAAAAGCCACCTGCTGCACTTCCTTTATATCGCAGCAATAGCTCTCGCCAGTTCTATCGACCGAAACCAGGCGTGAGTAAGGAGTGCGATGATTCCATTTTCTACATACGATCCATCGAGCGAGGGGCAAGTTCGGCAAGTGCTGATGATCAGATGTACGATTCACTCAAAGTTATTAATGAAAGGCGGTCTACGTTGCTGAAAGCAGATTCGCAAAGCTCGTTGGGATCAGCAGAGCGTAAGCTTAGCAGTTTTTCGCTGAAGATGCCAGAGATAACGGAACGAGAGAACTCAATAGATGTAGATGAGCCACCAGTCCGTGCAACAGAGGAGCATACCGTGCTTCAAATGGAGACCGAAACGCCACCATAGCGATAAGTCTTAAGTCTATTTCAGATCCTGCACCTGGCTCTTCAATTGAAACTATTTCATCAATTGACTTACTTATATTTCTGTTTGATTCCGTTTAATTGTTCAGAAGACAAGGCTATATACATATATATATGACTGTATAGTTGTATTCAATGGAGTAAACACCTTTGCGTAACCACTCTATTGCCTCTACATACATATATACGTGTACTGTTTGTTCGATTTGTTATTTTAAGCCGACTGACTGCATTTTAAGGCAAAGTATTGTCCCGATTTTATGTATCTTAAAGCGCAACACAACTCGGCAATCAAATATGCGCCTCAGAAGCCAACTCAATAACTAATCTATAACTACTGCAAAGGATTTGTCATATCAAATTCGTACTAAGTCGTATGTGTCTAGCCATTTTAGTCATCCTGTTACTGAATGTTTGCTGTTAATATTAATAGAGTTGAATCACTTTTAAAGCGTTCGCAGCGTTATTTAAATTTGACAGGCTCCCGAATGAGCAGCTCCCATAAATAAAACATTATTTATCAGGTTCGAATTGGAGTTAAAATATGCAAAACTATATAATGTTATCCTTCTGTGCAACCTTTGTGGCCAAAATGAATATGTATATAAGTATATAAACTTAAAGCAATCAGCGAACAGCCAAGACTGATGACATACTTGTTAAAACGAATTTTGTGTTTTAAATCGGAACTTAACAAAAAAAATGTTCAGTTTTGTTGATAGCTTAATGTAGAAACATTGCAAATGGCGGCCTGATAGTCAATGACACTGTATTGTAATAAAAATAAAAAACAACAAAACCAGCTGAACTCAAATACATGATCAATTTCTTATTCATTTTTCATTTTATGCCCTGTTTTCAATGAAGATCTTATTTAAACAATAATGTATACATTAGCTAACCAATAGAAAATGCCAATTGAAATAGTGAAAGCTATAGGGTATTGTGAAGGTTACCTAAATATATGTTTAAACTTGGTCAAATGACAAAAAAATTACTTTATCTAATTCTAAAATTAAAATTGACTTCGAACAAGTACACCCAACGTAAAAACATGAATTCAGATTAACTGTGTAGGCTCCGTAATTATAGAATATAAAAGATGTGTACAATATAATTTAGAAGATATATTTTATATCTGGATGTTAAGTATAAAATCTGTTAATTTGTAAATAAATTCAGTTGAAACATTTGTAAAAAAAAAACAATGAATGGTTTATTGTAAGTAACTGAATATTTCCACCAAATTCATAACAAAATGTTTGTTCTCAAATTATTATTGATGAGCCAAAAGTTTTATATAAATGTTTATTGGGTCGAATACCACAAAAAAATATTGTATTACCTATTTATAGCAACAAATACAAATTAATTAAATGTGTGTATATTAGAAACGGCGTTTTTTATTTCACTTCCAAAGCCACAAGAAACACAATTACTTCACGAGCTCGTCAATTATATCTAATGCGCCAACGTACTCGTACTAAGGCTGAGCCGAGTAACGTGTTCTTTGATTCTTACAAAAACGGTAAGCTGACATACATACATACATGCATACATACATACTCGTACATAATGTATGCTATATGTGTGTTAACATAACCAGGCCAAATGGCAAATGGAGTACAATCAGCTCACCATGGCCATGGCTAATTTCGTGCAGGACCTAGCCTATTGTGCATGCGTCTCAATGGCTCTCGGGGTTGTTATGAGCTTCATAACTAAGCAAAGTTATACTCACGCAATCTAAAAGCTAGACCGCTTTCCCTTCTACCTCCTATTGCTACATCAGATGGCTAAGGCGCGTATACACGACCGTTCCATTACGCCTGACCATCAGGTGAACATCGCCCTAAACAAGCCCTTGATAGGCCGATGCTAGCGCTCCGCCATATAGTAAATATTTAATCCCTAGTATGAGAATTGATCTTGAGAAGATTTTTGGTCCAACTGCCTTCAAAATCGCTGGTGGTGTGTGGCACCAAATGTTGAAATCAAACTAAATATGTGTTGTGGCTGAGATATCTGGGATCGGAATGGGATAAAGCTGGAAGTCGAACTATGTGTAATGATGTCTTCCCTAAAAAAAATAACAGGTGACACCTTAACCAGGTCTACTTTTTCAAATATCAATGGATCTTTAAAAAGGTTTTAATTTATTTGTTATGTTAAATTTGTCTATTAGATGAGTATGTATTAAAATATTACATTATAAAACTACTTAGAATCAACCTTTATAAAAAGCTTAACTTCAATCATGATTTCCCTGTAGTTTTTCTAATACATCTACTGCTTCGAATGTACACTACTTTTAAAATATGTATATTCCACATTAATACGAGTATGTCTACATTCATAAGAACGTAAATATTGATATGCAATAAAGGCACATACATACGATTAGCCTATTTACTCCCAAGCGCCCATGAAACCCCTTTTGTTTTAAAAGGTTGCACACACAACGTGCATGACCTCATCAATTTGGCTTATAGTCGCGTGGCAAAGGCTTCGGGCTAGGGCAAGTTTTTGCTGTACATAGCTTTAAGTAATTTCAAGAAGAGCCACAAGTAGGAGCATACAAAAAAAGCTAAAGCTAAATGCCAAACATACACATCCATGTACATACATACTCATAGGTGTTGCGTGTACAAGAATGGTAAGCATATACACACATCGCACACCGTTCAAGTGGCCACCAATTTCCCTAGTACTTGGTCAGGCTGAATGACCATTTACTTGGCGTGGATTTTCAGTTCAGTTTAGCTAAATTCGTGACCAACTACGGGCGTGTTATTGCCACGCTTCGCAATTGTTTTTGTATTCCACATTGCCCCACGGTGCTATTCAAATTTCTGCAATTCAAAACTTCAACCGATACCTATAAACAACTCCAACTATACACAATAGGGGACTCGCACTAGATGTAATTTGTATTCACACAGCTGCCAAAAATGGGTTGTGCCAGCAGCACACCAATGGTGGCTACGGCTGGCAGTGAATTGCTTAAAACGGCTTCACATGTTGCTGACAATGTTAAGGAAAATGCCGAAGCAGCTGTCGAAGGTAGGTGTACGTGCGAATATAGGCCGACCAATTTAAAGATGAACTCCTAATTGCACCTTCAACAAAATTGGAGAATTTGAGAAAAAATCAAGAGTTTCGTACTTAAATCGCGTATTGATATCATTTTTAAGTAGTGACATATACACACAATTTATATAACATACCTTGGCATTATTAAGTACGACCCCCGTTCGTGTAGAATAAAGACTTGGGAGTAACAGTCCAAAGTATAGAAGAAATGCAATTAAAATATTGTAGTTTTGAATTTTGAGTGCATGTGAGCAGCCAAGTGATTTGATGTTAAACTTGTAATTTTAGACTCAATTGAATTCTGGATTCACATTCATAAACTTAGTATGGGATTGATGTTCTTTTTATTATACCCTGTACCCGTAGGGTAAAAAGGGTATATTAGGTTTGTGCAAAGTATGTAACATACAGAAGGAAGCATCTCCGACCCCATAAAGTATATATATTCTTGATCAGCATGACGAGAGAAATCGATCTAGACATGTCCGTCCGTCTGTCCGTCCGTCTGGATGAACGCGAGGATCTCAGAAACTATAAAAGCTAGAATAACCAAAGTTGGCATGCAGATTCTCCTAGATCCGAGTAAGGACGAATTTCGTCAATAGCGTCCACATTTCAAATGCTACCTAAACCAAACTTTGCACACATATTTTTATAAATAATTATCTACTGTTGTTTAACATTTTATTCAATTCTGTCAATTCTAAGAAAAGTTATTAGCGAAACAAATTCTCGCCAGTACAACCCCCACAAACTGCAGCAACAAGTTCGCTCTTCTTCTTCCTCTTTTTGCTACTGCTATGGGCGCATATAACTCAGTGACGGAAGTTTACCTGGGTACAGGGTATTACACTGTCGGGCTTGCTCGACTGTAGCGTTCTCTCTTGTTTATTTTTGTGTTAATTGTGAGGCAGTTTCGTCCCTATAGTTTTTTGTTTGTTTTAGGTATGATCAATGATTGGGTTTGATTAAAGCACAACATAGATTTCGAACTTGCATTTTCAAATACGATTCGAGACCAAGTCGATTACTGTCGACTTGAATTTCAGGTCACCATCTCTATCAGTGTAGTAGGGGTTTTAAAATGAACACTCCATATTAATTTTTCAGGCGTTACTCACACGTTGGGGGATACAATAGGTGGTGGAGGCATAGGGACTGCCGTTACCGGAATTACAAGTGATTTGGCTGAAGCAATCAAGGATGGCACCGAAGGCCTAAACCAAGCGCGACACAAGATCATGGAGAGCTTGCATTTGGAGGCACCATCGTTAAATAAACTCGACGGAGAAGCAAAAGACGCACATGGAACAGACGAGTCAAGCACATCGCGCGCTCCTACACCGACCATCGATGGGAAAACAGACGCTGACAGTTTAAAAACGTCCACTCCCGAACCGGAAATTGAGCGAGCCTTGGCTAATAGCACAATAAACACAGAAGAGAGCGCACCCACCCCAGAGCCCACCGTGGCAGAGTTTGCTCATCTAAGTGCGGAAGTGGCAGCCAGTACCGTAACAGGTGGGTCAACAGGCTTCAGGGAAAATGAAACGGATGCGACTGCGACTGCAACTGCGACTGCAACTGCGACTGCAACGACAGTGGCGGGAGAGTAAGTAGGCCGTCCACTGAATATGCGATGCATATCCTTATGCGAGACGCCAATTACTTGGTGCACAAATCAGCCAACTCGTAGATGCTGTTGCACTCTAAGTTATCGAATAGTATCCTGCTTTTTGTAGTACTCGTAGCATTTTTACTGGAACTTGGTTTAAGCAGCCACACAGTAGGTTTTAAAATTCTAGGTATTGCATTATTCTTTCCTTCTTCTACATCTTTGTCTTCAACTATCTCCCTATTTATTTTTGACAACATACAAAATGTAAATAAATTGACTTAAATGTATATACATAGTTTGCCTTTATCTTTACAATATTCTGCAAGCAAACAAAGCTACGTAAAACTAACGCGAGCTACAATAAATACTGTACAAAGTACGTAGTTGTGGTAATAAACATTAACATCTACTAACAGTCCTCAGAAACATACACTGCAATACTATACACACTCACTCAGAACACCCACTGTATATACATAAGTACATATCTGATCTACATATCTGATCAATAACTTGGTTATGTATGTTAATGTGTACCCATGTACATATATGCGTACATACATACCCCCTTCTTAACACCCCCATCAACAGGCAACTGTGGCACCGCAAAAGTGAGCAACAGCAGCAGCAGCAGCAGCAGCAGGACCAGGATCAGGATCAACGTCGTCCCAACACCACTGAATGGGAAAAATTTGCTGATCAATTAGCGCATAGTCGTAAATTCAAACCTTACGAGAGTTTTGCCCACGGCAAAAATAAATTTTCCGTTTATCAAGATTACACCAGCCTACGCGATAAGCCTGGCCACTACGATGGAAACTTTAGCGATGGAAATACGCTCAGTAGCCTATCCCAGTCCAGCTTATCCAGCGCCCATTTGACGCCCGCCAATTTAACACCGGCATCCTCGCGTCGCAGTCAACGTGAATTCGCCAAACTGGTGGCTTGTGAGCAGCCGGCCAGTGTGTCACGTGCCAGTTCAAGGCTGTCGAATGCAACTGTTAGAACCTTTGACTATAATCCACAACGCGAACGTGTTAGCTTACCCATAACGACGCAGAGGGCGGCTAAGGCGACCAAGGTAAAATTGAGTGGCAAGGACGGTCGTTTAGGCTCTTCGACCTACCGAGTCCCAGTTGTGGCTGAACACAAAAATTCATGGGTCAAACCTGTAGATGTTCGAACGAAGCCAGTGCATCATCTCAAGCGCCTGAGTACAAGTAAAAAATCGAAGGAATGTTCTGCGCAAAATGTACTGGCACAACCTCCCGGTCGTCATTCCATTGAATTGGAATCCATTCTATCTATGACTCCGGGTCAATATGAATCTCGCTCATATACTCCGGACATCAAGGACAAGAGAAGTGTCAAGTCTACAATCAAAAAGAAACCAAAATATTATGGCCCCGAGCCCGCAATCAAAGAAAATTTCAAAGTTAAAGTTCCTGAAACACCCACTACCTCTCCCATGCCCATACAAGAGACGACAGAGAGCATAAAAGTGAAGGGCGGTAATCTTCCACCATCTCTATTCTCTCCAATAGTTAATTATAAGAATTCTCTTACTTCGCAATCCACTCCCCGAAAACCCCGTTCAGCGCTTCGAAGCCCTAAAAAAGAAACCAAATCTATTGAAAAATCTAGCAGAGCATCAACACCAGGTGTAGAGTCACCATCACGAGCTTCGTGCTCTTCATCAGCTAGCAGTGAAGAGGTGGTCATTCGGTCCACATTTCATACACCAAGCACTGTGTCTTTATCACCCGATCAAGTTCAGATTATTAAGTACAAAGACACCGATGTGGAAACAACTCCGATCCGTATTAAAGGTTTTCAGGAATCCACATCTACTTTGAAATTTTCCCAATTCCTTTATATACAATCTTCGCCAAGCGCATTGCGTCGTGCCTCAAATACCTCATTCCTTAGCTCATCGCCCACTCCGTCGTGGGGCTTAAGAAAAGACTACGGCAATAAAGAATTAAGGCCTTGGAGTAAAGCAGAATTAAATCTAGTACCACCAAGTCAAGAAAAATCTCCGTCTTTACCTTATAATGTACAGGAACGATGCGAGATTTGTTGTAATGAATATGTGATAAATTAAAGTTAGCTAGGTTTAATTCGCAATAGGTTGCAGCCCACTTGGAAAATTTGTATTCATTTTCTCAACTATTAAGAGAAGACGTTTAAAAAATAAATCAAAAAATGTAATAATAAACGGAAAAATTGTTCATACTTTAGAACAACAATAAAACTGAGCAATTCGATTTTCTCTTATTTAAAGAAATTAATTTATAAAAATTCCTAATACAATTTCGCGTTATTAAAAGTATAACAAAACTATGATTCGAAAATTAAGTGGGATTTTATTAAATCCAAATGGGCCTTTTAATATTGCTTTAAAAATATTGGTCAACGATGCTTTGTGAAACTAGAGTAGCCGTGACAAAGTCACAGAAACAGATATATCACCACCAGCTGCCAGTCAGCTGTTTGCAGGCATGTGCAGTGTAGTTGTAATTGCTGGGAGGAAAATCGATTTTCTCTCAATCAAAATGGAACACAAAGCATACGAGTATAGGCAAAAGTTTTAAAAACAGGTACAATGCCCAGCAGCCTCCTTTTTGCCTCAAGCAGCGAAGGACGCGTGTACACGCTGTCCACAAGTTCTGCGGGCTGGCGTGAGTTTCCGTATCTCGGTCTGGAATTTAAAAAAATATCGGCCGTACCAAACTTTATGTGGGCAATCGGAGGAGATCGCCAGGTATCTACATGTACACTTTTTTGCTTAGATTTGAAATCACAACACTATTATACAAAATATGCACTTGTTAAGACACTTACGTTATTAATTTATGCATCATCAGGTATACGTACATGTGCATTTACTTGACGTGCCTATTCGTGTGAAGGAAGAGTCGTACGAGAATGAACGTTGGTTGCCATCAATTGGCTTCTCGAAGATGCTGTTGCCCACGGACCGGTTTAAATACTCCAGTGCGGATGGCGGACAAGATCGGAGCGTAGATAAGATACGTTTGCCATCAATGGCCTGGCAATGGGATGGAGATTGGCATTTGGACTTGGAACTAGATGGGCAACAACTGCCTGAAGATGGTTGGATGTATGCTTTGGATTTTCCAGCATCGTATTCTGTTAAGAAGTCATGGAATTCCTATGTACGACGACGAAAATGGATACGCTTTCGCCGCTATGCAGCGCTCAACAGTTGGTGCGCAGTGGCACCGCTGCACAAAGACCCCACACAAGAACCCTTTATTGATGTGTCAATAGGAGGAATGAGTGTGCCCAATGCTGCCCCTGGAACTTTTTGTGTGTGGGCAATTACGGCACATGGTAGAGCTATGTTTCGTACCGGCGTCACTTCCTCCGCCCCAGAAGGACTACGTTGGACAGCCATAAATACACCATCTGGTAGTGAGCTGACGCAGATAAGTGTTGGTCCTACAGGACTCGTATGGGCAGTGCTGTACAATGGGCGCGTAATAGTGCGGACAGGAGTCACGCGGGATAATTTATCGGGGGAAGCGTGGTTGGATGTAAAAACCCCAACGGTCTCCGGTAGCTCGCCAGCACCCAATGGTGGTCTCCGAGTTGTGCAAGTATCGGTGGGCATGGATGCGGTCTGGTGTGTGACAAACGATCATCATGCTTGGTTTCGACGTGGCATTAAAGGGGATGCGGCAGGAATTAGCGAAGACGCTGCCATTGGTAAAGGTTGGGTAGAAATGGTTGGCAATATTGCAATGATATCTGTAGCGCCCAACGACCAGGTAGCTTAATGAGAAATTTAGACTTTATGACATCGATTGATAATCTTACATTCCACAGGTGTTTGCTGTTGGTGCCTCAGATCGTGCTCTGTACTTTCGCTCGGGTGTCACTTCAGCTGATCCAACTGGAAAGAAATGGCGCCAGATACAATGTTCAATGCAAATAAGTCGCACTTCTAGCTCTATTTCTATCGTATCGCACAAGAGCGGTAGCAGTTCTACGCCTGGATCCAAACATCAAAGTTTTTCAAACTTATACTCCAAAGAAAAAGAAAAAGGTGTTGTAGAAACTTGTGCAGCCATTGAAACAATCGTACATAGTTCCGCGTCCTCCAGCAATGGCACTGTAAGCCGCCTTAAAAACGATCGATGGAATGTGAGTTGTGATTCGCCACCAACAAACATTGGAAGCCTCAATCTCAATGAACGTCACAAGCGTCGAACGGCGGTTTCCTTACGTGAATCGGTACACGCATCCAGTGCCCCAGTTGCAGATGTCACTGTAATCAGTGGCAAGTTTGAAACGCAACTTAAAAATCCGCGCGCCTGGTCGCCAGTGCGCAGCGTTGGCTCTGTGGTAGGTACAGAAGCGCACCCAGAGAGTGATTCTGCAGTGTTCGAATCAGATTCTACGATGCACCATGGCTCGGATGCTTTCTTAGGCGACGATGATGATGACCATGCTGGTTCCCAATTTTGGACAGAGTGCGAGATCATGTGGAGTTGTGTTGCATCTGGAGCTGTTAGCGTTGATACCAATAACATACCTAATTGGTTTAATGAGCAACAGTTTGCGGGTGATGGCAAAGTCGATGTGAACGCTAATTGGCGTAAGGATATTTTAACAAAATTAACACGACGTCAAGAAGATTTGGCAAAATTGGAACAAACACAAAGATTTGAAAAGGCTGTGGAATTATCATCGTGGATTAAGTCAGCAGATGCACGATATCAGCGTCCTGGTGGCGAGTATGAGGATTGCGTTATCGAGCTGGAGTGGGTGAGCAGCAACACCGATTCTTCAACTAGTGGCAGCGACTCCGGAACCTTTACAGTGGTTAACCCTGATGGCGCATCCACCAAAATACAATTCTCGCTCTCAGATATAACGTGTGTTCAGTGCTGCAGTGAACCAAGTGCACCGCGCTTAGCCATTCATGCATCACATTTGCCAGTTAATTGTTCGCCGGTAAAGTTGCAGTTTCCAAGTGATGCCGAAATGGAGGATTGGCTATCACATCTGTCGTCTGTGTGCAGCCAAATTAACGTACTTATGGGTAAACCTGCTAACAACGCGATATGGGTGACCAGTGAACTTGGTGACGTGTTTGCATTTGATGCGGCCAATATGAGAGCACAACAGATGGAGGACTCTTCTAAAGGTAGTAGTGGGTATGTGGAGCGCATGGATGTATCTACATGTGAGACGCCGTACAACAACACGCTCTACAACGGGTAAGAGCATAAAATTTAACTATATCCGTCTAATAAACCAATAATAATGTTTTGTATATAGAATGCCATGTGGAACTGAACTGACAATTTCTGGATGCGTATACGATGATGCCGATCAAATACGCTTCGACTTGCAGTGTCACTCAAATATTAAAGTACTTCCGCATCGTGTAGATAAGTTTCGTGTCATTGCGTTGCATCTTAATCCACGTTTCAATGAACGCACAACGGTATTAAACTCAATGAACAATTCGGAATGGATGGATGAAATCCGCAATGATAAAATGGTATTTGCACCTGGTGCTACGTTTACTCTGAAGATGAGGTAAGTTACATTTTCAAAGATTTTACTCATTACAATTTATATCGATCTCTATTCTCAGAGCTCTTGAGAGCTACTACCAAATTTTGGTTAATGATGAACCATATGCCAATTATAAGTACCGCACCGATCCCGAGTCAGTCTCTTGTCTTTATGTCAGTGGGCGCGTTAAAATTTTCAATCTACATTATCGCTCCCCCACACCTATAATTTCGTTGAAACACATGTATTGGCGTCAAATAGGTGGTCATATAAGACGGGTTTATAACAGCGGCGTTGGAGTTGTCTGGGGTATTGCTTGCGACAATACTGCTTGGGTTTATAATGGCGGCTGGGGAGGGAGTTTTCTCAAAGGATTAGAAGGATCCGGAAAAATAAATGTCATGATTGATTCTCACATGTATTATGTTTACGAAAACCAACGCTGGAATCCAATAAGTGGTTTCACGACCAAAAGTCTGCCTACGGATCGCCACCTATGGAGCGATGCAAGTGGCCGCCAGAAACGCAGCAAGGAACACACTAAACTGTTTTCAACTCATTGCCAGTGGATCTCCGATTGGGCCATTGATTACAACATTCCTGGAGGCGCCGATAAAGAGGGCTGGCAATATGCCATCGACTTTCCTGCATCATACCACGGACAGAAGAAACTTACAGATTGCGTACGCAGACGTCGCTGGGTGAAGAAATGTCGCTTGACAAGCAGTGGGCCATGGCACGAGCTAAGCCACTCTAAGATACTCGATGCTGCTTTGCAGGTACTTGATGATGATGCGGATAGTACCAAAGATGACGAAGATGTGCCAATAACAGCCTGGGCTATAGCCTCCAACGGCGATGTACTCATACGACATGGTGTAACTGCATCTAATCCGCGTGGCGATTCTTGGGAGCACATTGCAAGCGAGCAACCACTTATTGGCATTACTGTGGCACCTTCAGGCCAAGTGTGGACTGTCGCACGCAACGGAATGGTGTTTTACCGTTATGGGATAAGCAACTTAAATCGAGCTGGCGATGCCTGGGAACAAGTAGTGGCACCAAGCGGTGTGACGTTTAAGGCAATAAGTGCCGGGCGTTTGGGCATTTGGGCCCTGGATAATCAAAATCGTTTAGCGGTGCGCAGAGAGATAACTAAAACATTTCCTGAAGGCTCAAATTGGCAGTTTTTACCGAACGTAGACTGTGGCTTCCGTTCTGTGTCCGTTGGCAGCGAAGTATGGGCAGTAATGTGTAACGGTGTTATTTGTAAACGCTGTGGCATTACCAAAGATAATCCAGCTGGAGTTGGTTGGAACTTGGGCATCGCGGTATGTTTGGCTCGTACTGTTCAAAAATTACATTATTAAATCGATTATTTTCAGGGACAATGGACCCATGTTTCAGTAGAGGGCTACATGTAAAAGTAAACCATTCCGCTTCGCGTATTTATATGAATACTTTCAGATTTTATAATCGGAAAGTTATATTTATTTCCTATTAGGTTTAACAGCGTTTTGTATTTCTGTTTGTACATATATACAAATTGTGCATTTATTTGTACTTCATACTCATTCTTCTCAGTCTTTAGAAATATCAACCATTCCTTTAGTTAGTTTATTTTTACTCTTTCTATTTGTGTGTTTCTATCAGTGTATATGCATTTCAACAATATTTGAATAAATGCGCCTAGCCCAATTGGTGTAATTACCAGCTATCGATAACATTCTCGATAAATTATTTGCAAGCCGCGCTGACAAAATCACAGAGCTGCCGTATTTAGCTTTGTGAAATGTGACATTTCGATATTTGCTTTAATCAAAATTGTGTATGCCATTTTTTTAGCTAAATGTAAGTTGTAAAAAATGCTAATGGCCTACATCCACATATTTCGGCAAAACCACTTTTAAAACTTATCAAAATTTCTCCGCACTATTCCTCATTGAACGCAACACGTACATATGTATGTACATACATGTGACTGCATATGTGTGTTTATAGTTTCAATTAGTTCGGTTCATTTGACAGCGCCTTCATCGTTTTTTGTATTTATTGTATTGTATTCAACGAGGGGAATCAAACAAAACTTTGATCGCAGCACAAAACTGGCGCAGTTTAATTTCATCACTGCTCCGAGAACACTTACCACGTAGCCCCTCCTTGTATTTATTTGATTTTGTTGCATCATTTAAATTGTATTTTACACAATGTCCGGCTCAATTTACGGCAATGTAGCTAAGGTAAGAAAGTACAAATGTTTTTCATAGTTCTTTCGTTTTTAAAAATTATACATTTTAATCTAAAGGGCCCGGCTATTGAAGTATTCGCTTTGACTCAAGCTTTCAAGGATGACTTGTCCTCCAACAAAGTTAACTTATCTGTGGGGGGTAAGTAAACGAAATACATACATACATACATACATTCATAAATGTTATACCCGGTGAACAAGTCGTATAATTTAGTGACAAATTCTGCTGAAACTGATATGCACTTGTATACATACATACATATGTATGTATGCTTCTTAGTATCCCGTCAAATTGCAACGTTAAGTATACATTACATAGATAAATATGCCCCTAAGGTCATCTGAAGGTCAAATGCACTCATAATTTATACAGTGAGCTGACGCCGCACTGCTTATATTTTCCACTTGAGATACAACTGTGTGCGTTATTTTTGTGTTTGTTAGCGCTTGTACGTAAACATATGTATGTACATATGTACTATGTATGCATACGTTAAGTTGTTTGTATGTTTGTGCATAATGGGGAAGTATTAATAATTGTGCTATGCCATTTTATTTGCTTATATCATATTATTGCAAATATTACAATATTATTGTAAAAATACGGCATAATAAGTCGAGGAGGTATGGTTACGTCTCGTGCTGAACCGGTTTTCTGCTTCGTCAATGATCTCTAAATTATTGAAAAATGTTGAGGGTAATGAACTAAGAATCCATAATTAAACATTTCGTTAAAATACTACACCTTCAAAAGTGTTAGTTATTTTATTAAATTAAATAAATGCATATATATGTCTGTATGTACATACATAGCATTCAAAAGCGTTCTTGTTTTTTAAAACATTGTATTTATTGCCTTAGCAACTGGAACTACAAATTCTATCGAGATAAGCCAAAATAAGATTGTGATAGAAATTACGACGTCATGATGATAAAGAAAGTCTATATAGTAAATACCGTAGAAACTATTGTATATGTTATATACACTCGTAGATTATTTTTGTATATCATATAGCTGCTTACAGAACAAACTTTCTGTTCCTTATTACAGCTTACCGCACTGACGATGGTCAGCCGTGGGTTCTACCGGTTGTGCGCAAATCCGAAATAGAAATTGCAAGTGATCAGCATACAAATCACGAATACCTACCAGTGACTGGTAAGTAAAAAAGAAAACGTAGTTGGTCCAAAACATCAAATGACTTGTACTTATTAGGTTTGGATACATTCACGCGCGCCGCTACGGAGCTGGTGCTCGGTGCCAATTCAAAAGCTCTTAAAGAGCAAAGGGTAAGTTTTAGTTTGAAATATGGTTACAATCCTCCATAACCAAGTCGGGTATATGCAATTTGATTATAGAGGATTTTGGCAATTTTTCCTTTTATCTGTTAATTTTATATAAAAACATTAAACTTAGAGAGAATGTCGACTTTGTAAGAAGCAAAAAAATAATAAGCATTGGTTTTTTATATTCTAGGCATTCGGCGTACAAACCATTTCTGGGACAGGTGCGCTACGTTTAGCGGCCGATTTTCTGCTACAACAGCTTAAACGTCATACGGTTTACTACTCCAACCCAACCTGGGAGAATCATCATAAAATATTTGCAGATGTCGGCTTTACAAAACTGCATACTTATCGCTATTGGGACCAAAAAAATCGTCAGTTGGATTTCAAAGGTATGATGGCTGATCTAGATGAGGCTCCGCCATTGTCCATTATAATTTTGCACTCATGCGCACACAATCCTACTGGCATTGACCCAACCCAGGAACAATGGATACAAATTGCTGATTTAATGGAACGTAAAAAGCTGTTCCCACTTTTTGACTCTGCTTATCAGGGCTTTGCCAGCGGTGATCCCGATCGGGATGCATGGGCTGTTCGTCATTTTGTTGATCGGGGCTTTGAGCTTTTTGTTGCACAATCGTTTGCTAAGAATTTTGGCTTGTATTGTGAACGTGTTGGAAATTTAACGGTGGTGCAGCAGCACGGTGGCACCAAAGCCGCCATACACTCACAAATGACACTCATTATACGTGGACAATATTCAAATCCACCTGCATTTGGTGCGCGGATCGTCTCAAAGGTTTTAAACTCTCCTGCGCTGCGCGAGGAATGGATGCAGTGCATTAAAGCCATGTCCAGTCGCATACGCGAAATGCGCAAGGCTTTGCGTGATAAACTTGTAGAACTGGGCACTCCCGGAAATTGGGACCATATTGTTAACCAAATTGGAATGTTTTCCTATACAGGCTTAAACGAAAATCAAGTGCGCGTTCTTATCAATAATTATCACATATATTTGCTAAAAACGGGTCGCATTAACATGTGTGGTCTGAATACTGGCAATATTGACTATGTAGCAGAAGCTATACATGCAGCAGTAACCTCCCCTGGGACACCATGCACCTGCGAAAACAAATTGTAAATCAAGAACACGGGCTAATCAAGAAACTTTTAGAAATATATATATTAATCCGGAATAGATCCTTTAAAATTATTGTTATAAAATAACGTTACAAAACGCAAATCGTACGCGCATTTAAACTGTACACTAAATATAAGTATGTTACTTACATTTGGTACCCGAATATTTGGCATTTGTTCCACGCAATTTAATGTGTTATTCGCATTTAATCAAAAGTTCACATTTTTCAAATAATATATCTGTACGAATGTTATGTAGATGCAGTATTCAATATGTACACCACAAACGAATAATTATACAAAAATCGGTACAGTAGACTTAAAAGACAATAAATCGGCGCTGATAAAGAGGCTGTTGCTTTGTGAAATTTTTAGTTTTGTATCTTGTCGAATTAAAGTGAAATCGTAGTAGCGTTTTGAGGCAATAAAACGTATTTATACAATAAAAACCATTAAACAAAATCAGTTTTATATTTAATACTTTCTGTAAGCTGCACGAAGCTGTATATGAACTTCCAGCTTTTATATTGACGGTAAGATTACGAAATGGTCCTTTATACTGACGGTAAGATTACATGTTTAAAGTAAACACAACACAGCCAATTTTCAGTAACTGTCTACATATATGTACTAATCACTAATCCGCTGGCTTGTCCAAATATGTTGTTTCTTAACGCTGTTTATGATAGGTTTTGTATGGGCAACGATTTGGAATCCCTCTCTTCACAACTGATGTCCATATAATATATGTATTTTTGCTAGGCTATTATTGATAATAATAATATTATTAAGAGGAAAGATCAATCATGCTTTTGAGAAATTAAAGCCTTCCAAGCATGTGCAATGGGACGAGGCTGCTTATTAAGGATTTGAAAGATATTTTAAGTGTAGCAACTATTATCAACGGCCAGCAACTGGTCAACTAACTCATGTAACGAGGATACCGATGATCCCATTTGATCATTTATATGGCTTCAATTTCTGGTAGTCCCAAGGCCAAGCCTTCGAATTAGTAGGGATCGACATTCGAAAGCAATGTTTTATTGTATGTTGACCTATCACCTACCACAAAATAAAACATCAAATATATTTTACAGAGAACCTCTGACCTAATAAAGAATAGCAAACAAAATCTAAAAACGAACAAAAAATCATTAAAATAATAATATCCAAAATAAATTTTACTCCTTAGTATGTGTGTTATAAAATGTATAATTTTTAAAATTTGTATAAAAATACCCGTGCGGGTAGCAAAAAGAAGGGTGTATGTGTGTTAAAAGTGTGTGTATTATAAAATTTAAAATTTTTATAAAAATACCCGTGCGGAGCAGGGGCAGGACGCTAGTATTTATATATGTATATACATATATATGTATGTATGTATTTATTTACTAGTGATGTTTCCCTTCCCACATTTTGATCATTTCTAGAAAAGTTTCTATGCGGCATATAGAATATATACTATGAATGTTCGTATATATGAACAAATGTGTATGTATGATACTTAGTAAAATTAAGGGCTTGATAATTTTGTTTTCAATTCGAAGCACGACTGAATTAAATATTCAAGGCGCTCCACTCTTTTTTGAGTTAGCAACAATCATCTAGCGTTGTTAAGGAACTCGTTCAATCTCTAAAACGGTAAATCACTGAAAATTATGCTTCTTAAATCGAATAATTAGCAGAAAATAGAAATGGTTTTTATACATGTGTACTTTTATATAAGTATGATAGTCAGATGCAAAGAACCGATCAGTATGATGAACAATAATTAATAATTTAATATGGAATGGATGATAACAAACTAAAAAAAATTTTTAATTAAACAGAATTTAAATTTTTTATAAAATATAAGCTGCGTACTTACCCAAAATATATTTGTAGATGAATTCAGCTTGGGTATTAAACTGCAAATCAGTTTTATAATTTGCGACACTGCAATTGATTTTAAATCAACAACATACACACATATGCAGACACAGTTGTGCTCTTGAAAAAAAAAAAAACCAAAAAAATCACGATATATAGTATACACACACACTCATTATTTTAATTTACAACAAATTTACACTAATATGCTTTTTAAATAAACAATAAACATTCGTTAATGTTCTTTCGTAGATCAACTCATACGCGTCGCGGCTCAATAGGTCAAACAAAACTAAAAACTATCTTTGTTGCTGTAAGTACAAACACATTCTCTCGTGAGCGTTGATCAATTATCTTCGTTGCTATAGCAACTTTCGTTTCAAAATCACATTCGAATGCACCTACATACATACAAATGTATGTACATAGGAAATAAATGCATAGGTACGTGAAATTACAAAATGATTATTAAACTGCAAATTACTTAAAAAACAAAAAATTGCGGCGATGCAATTCATTTTAACTCGCCCAATTATGTAAATTTGCGATTATTAAACTCAAAAACACTTTAAAAAACAAACAAAAATTTTTGGCCATGCAATTGATTTTAGACTATCCACATATATACATATGTATACGCACACATACATATGTAGACAGACTTTACAAATCACGTTCACAGTAACTTGAATAAAAAAATCTTGGAATACACACACGCTTTTAAGATGAAAATTACAGCAAAGAAATAAAGGACAAAGGAAATCACCTACATACATATGTACATAGGAAATATGTACATGCATATGTACGTGCAGATCGCGTAGCACCCCGACGTGTAACAAAAACAAAATTACACACCATAAACATTTTTTTTATAATTCATTCGCATTTATACAAAATACACATAAGTTCGGCCTGATTTTACTTATATTTATAGTTTAATTTAAGCATTTTTAATAGTTTTCGACGAACGCAACGATACGCGACACGACGCGCTAAAGATGGCGCGAAAAACTAAGCATGGCCTCCAGCTGCCAGATGTGCGCTCTCTTAGAATGCAAAAGTGAAAGCAAAGCATCAAAAATCATAACTGTAAATCGGCTTAGGCAACTGGCACATTGGTGTGGGCGTAGAAAGAATCATATCAACGGGGATTTCATACAAATTGTCTTTTATATAACATTGCTCAAATTATAAAATTAAGAGCTATGTATGTACTACATATTTTTATATTTATAAATGATAAAATTAAATATAAGAAAATTTTCATGAATTCCCCATTAATGTGAAATGTATGTACATATGTTATGTATATTGTATGTACATATATTGATTTGATATTGTAGATGAAATGTACAGTATATTAGGTTTGCGGGAGGTAAAAAATGTAACAGGCAGAAGGACAAGACGATTCGATCTAACCCTGTTTGTCCGTCCGTTTTTTCCGTTTTTTCCTCTATATATATATGCATGTATGTAATTTTCTTTTTAATTTATTTATTTAATCAAGAAATATATAAATATTTACATTTCGAAATATCGCAAATATATAGTATTAAAGCCTAATGGGTATTCTGTCTACAGCCATGTTGATTAGCTGTTAGATAAAAATTTATTTTGCTTTGTCCTTTGTTTCTTTGCTGTTACTTTCATCTTAAAAGAGAGCAAACTCATGGGAGAATGAGCTTGTGCAGCAACGAGGATAGTTTTTAGTTTTCCTTGATCTGTTGAGCCGCGTCGCGATTGAGTTTAGTTTCGCAAAAACATTAATACATGTCCTAATAATTAATTCAAAAAGAATTATAGTATAAATTTGTGGTTGTAAATGAAAATAAGTTTATTGAATTCGTATTGTCGCCTCAGTGTGTTTGTGTGTTCTTAAATCAGTTTCCTTTTGTTCATGTTGTAAATGTGATTTGTATGTACATTACTGTGTGTGTCTATGTGGTTGACTTAAAATCAATTGCAGCGCCGCAAATTTGTTGTTTATTTTAAGCGATTGTAAAAGTGTTTAAAAGTGTTTGTAATGAAAAGGATCTGAATTCAACGAAAATAAAAGGATCAAATTTGATTTTCTTTGTCTTCTATTCTTTGCGATAGCTTTCATCTTAAAAGAGAGCAACACTCACGAGAGAATGTGTTTGTACAGCAACGAAAATAGTTTTCAGGTTTGTTTTGACCTGTTGACCCGCGTCCCGTGTGAGTTTAGCTACGCAAATACATTAATAAATGTTTAAGTTTCCAATTTAAATGCTATACTAGTACAAATTTGTTGTAAATGAAAATAGGTTTATAGAGATTGTAAAAGTGATTTGTAATGGAATGAGGATCAAATTTGATTTTCGTTGTTTTCTATTTCTTTGCGGTCACTTTCATCTTAAAAGAGAGGAACACTCACGGGTGAATACAGCAAGGTAGCAAGATACTTTTTAGTTTTGTTTTAATCGTTGCGCCGCGTCGAGTGTGTGTTTAGCTACACAAATACATTAATAAATGTTTTTATCCCTATGTGTGTGTATATCGTGATTTTATGTGTTTTTAAACCCTGTACCCGCAGGGCAAAAAGGGTATATTAGGTTTGCGCAAAGTATGTAACATACAGAGGAAAGCATCTCCGACCTTATAAAGTATATATATTCTGAATCAGCATGACGAGAGAAATCGATCTAGACATGTCCGTCCGTTTGTCCGTCCGTCTGGATGAACGCAAGGATCTCAGAAACTATAAAAGCTAGAATAACCAAAGTTGGCATCCAGATTCTCCTAGGTCCGAGAAAGGACGAGTTTATTTTCTTTTTTGGAATTTTTGCCCCCTTTTCCGCTACAGAATTTCGTCAATTTTCATAAAATTATCTACTTTTCTTTCAAATTTCATCCGGATCGGTCAATTCTAAGAAAAGTTATTAGCGAACCTTTTGCTTCTGCTAGAGGCGCATGTACCTCAGTTTCGGAAGTTTACCTGGATACAGGGTATTTCACTGTCGGGCTTGCTCGATTATAGCGTTTTCTCTTGTTTTTTCAAGTGGTGTGTCTGATTTATAAAGTGTACACATACTGTGTACAAGTGCCTGTGGTTGATTTAAAATCAATTGCAGCGCCGAAATTTTTTTTTTTTTTTTTTGCAAGTGATTGTAAAAGTGGTTTATAGTTTAATGATCATTTTGTAATAAAAAGGATCTGAATTCAACTATTCCATTCGAAAAGGACCAGAACTCATCTGCGTGTAGGAATATGTGTAAGTACGCACATCAATTTATAATATTTATGTATTTAATCAAGAAATATTTACATACATATGTGTATACTAATTGGGCCTCATATTTGCAGACATCAAGTCGCCACCACTTCTAGAAAGACGATTTTAAACAAAATTTTTTTTACATATTTCTTCAGGCATACGTACTTAGGTTTATATCTGGAATTGTAAGATGTTATATTATAATTTAGGGCAATTATTGAATAATAAATGGGAATAGAATAAAGTTGGTTTCGTTAAACCGTAGATAACCATTTATATTCCATTGAACGTCATAGTTTATGAATTATTTTTATACCCTGTACCCGTAGGGTAAAAAGGGTATATTAGGTTTGTGCAAAGTATGTAACATACAGAAGGAATCATCTCCGACCCCATAAAGTATATATATTCTTGATCAGCATGACGAGAGAAATCGATCTAGACATGTCCGTCCGTCTGTCCGTCCGTCTGGATGAACGCGAGGATCTCAGAAACTATAAAAGCTAGAATAACCAAAGTTGGCATCCAGATTCTCCTGGGTCCGAGTAAGGACGAGTTTATTTTATTTTTTTTAATTCCCCCCCTAAGAGTCCACAATTTTAGCAACGGAGGGAGAACGGAATATGGTACTCAATGGCAGATCAAGTGTCACACTTTTAAACTGTAGGCCGGATTCTGTGAAATTATTTTTGCCAAGTAATAATAATATTTAATTGATGTATTTATTAAATATATTTTGTATTTGTTGTACAAATCTGTGTCTTATTTGGTAGATGATAAAATTAACAGATCAACCAAAATGTTGTGTTCAAGCTCCTTATTTACAACTTCCCCGATATATGTTATTCGCACTTAAAAGAATACGACTTGACTGCGGCTTACATGGACTAGTTTTCCTTTAGTAGTTAGTATGTACGTGTGCCGTTCCATGCTTATAAATAAATGTATAAACTATAATATTTACAAACAAACCACTTAGATTAGCATTTGCTCTAAAATGTGTTGTCTAGCTCAAAAGCTACAACGAATTGCTTTTCCTACATTCTTAAAAACTCATTGTATACAAGTTGAAATCTGACTTCATGTGGGATCATGTTTGGGACTGTCTTGTATTGTTTAATGTTTTTCCGTCCACATTTTGAGCTTAACATTCAATATACACAAAAGAGCTCGTGTATAAAACGATGAAATATGTTGTACAATTCGTCATTCCCTAATTTTATGCATTTGAAGTTCCGCTTTTACTTTTTTTCTAAGGCAACTTGTTTGAAGGCATCTTTAATATAAATGTTCTTTATTTTATCTAAAATTATAACATTTATTTTTACGTTATTCCTACAGAGGAAATAATATTGAACATCGATTTACAGATATGTTGTTTGTCTTTTCAATGGGGCTTGTCGAGGGTCACGTACAAAATCAAATAAAACAAAACCAAAAATATTCATAGTTTCATGTAAAAATTTATTTTCAATTTTCAACTTAAAGGACCTAAAATAAAAATAGTTCACTGTGTAAGCATACAGAATCAACAAGCGTCTACTTCTGCTAAACAAAACAACAAAAATATAAAGAGTAAATTAACAATATGTAATAAACATAAAGGGTATTTACATTACGCCTATTAACTTTTTAGGTTTCTGAAATGGTAAACTGCCCATAGAGAGGTCCAAATCCTTTGTTTGTTTTATTTCTTGCCAATAAATCCTATGTTTATTTTCCAATACAATTAGGGGCATAATATCAGAAAATATGTTGGAGGTAAACTAAAAGCTAATACGACAGTAACAGACCCATTGTAGATACCCCCAATAAATTGTTTCTATTAAGTAATATTCACAATCATGAACACGAGTCCTAGAAAAAAGAAGTTACTACTTTTAGAAGTGCATTTATACCTAGGCCTTTAGGATAAATAGTAAGTTCATTACGTACAAAGTGAATAATAGGTATTATTTTCTAGTGCTTACAACGTGGTTCAAGTGAAATTACGAAATGGTATGAACGGTTCAAATTGTTCTTTCTATGTTGAGACATTGCATCGAATGGTTGTTAGCAGTATGTATGTAGCTGATTAAAAATTAACTTAGCATAAAGCAGAACTTAGGGCTATCGACTGTCAATATGTTCAGGCAACTTAAATCTAATTTTGCACTTAAACAAGTCAAAACATTTTTGAAATCTTTTTCTTGTAGTTTTTATAATTTTTTCGGAAAATAACAAAGTATTTTTTATCTGTGAATATAATCCACGCTTTTCAACAGCTAAAGTAAAATCAACTTGGGATTACTTGAATGTCGACTAAAAAGTTTAGTGGTTAAGAAATAAAAAGAATGCTGCTAAGATGTGTAATTTGATTGAGTGTATTAATTGAAGCGATTTTAAAGCGATCACTGATTTACAGGTCGTTTTGCTAGAATGTCCGAAATATATATACAAGAATTATTCATAAAAAATACTAATCAAACATTAATTTTAAAATCAGTTATCCTAATAAATAACTACTTTAAACCATTGATGATCTGTATGTAGAAGATGATATTATATAAATATAAATATATATTGGTTATTGAAACCAAAGACGCCTCAACTTATTTGTAACAATACACATAACAACTTGTAAATTATTGACAGGGGGTTGGTTGTCTTTGGTGTTGCTCAAAATGAAATATGTCTAAAAGAGTTTCTGTTGATACTTTAAAGTATTTCTAAGCACATATGCGTATATACTATTCGTTACGCAAATAAGCCTACCCGATAAAATGTATTCCACCAAGTTGACGCAAAACGGCACGGCGCATATGCATGTCGTCATATGTCACCGTTCGCCGTCAGCTACGTTCAGCATGATCGTGCTTGCCCACCCAATTTATGGCCGCCGCCGCCAGTGTGGCCACATGCGCCAACACCGATTGCACCGTTTGCAATCCCAGTCCCATCTCATCCTGTCGTCATTCAAAGACATAGCGCGCTCGCAGTGCACGCGCTCTCTCTGGTTGGACACGTGTCGGTGGCCGAGGTACTTTTGGTGCTGGTTTGGCTCTTCGTACCACCGGAAGTCGTGGACGTGGAAAAATAAGCGGCGGCTCGTAAGCTGCATCAATAGGCTCCTTTTTAATTGAAGTCGAAGCATAGACGCGACGCTCTTTTTTAAAGCGGTGCTTGAGCACCTGTTGCACACCGTTAAGCATCAGGCAAAAGTGGCGCCAGCTTGCACGCGTTTTTCGCCAGGATGAGGATGTTTTGGAAAAGCCTAAAAGAGGATCACGGTCAGATGTAGAAAGGTATCGCTGGCGGGAAATGTAGCTGGAGCGAGGTTTTCGTATTGTTGCCAAACGTTGATATTTAATCGGCGGTTCGTCTGAAGGCGGCGGAAGGGCTTGCATTAGCTTACGTAAGCCCTCTTTAGTATCTGCTTGTATATCTGTTGTATATTGAGCAGCCACCAAGTGACGTTCCACTCGACACTGTTGACGTGTGCGCGCTTGTTTGCTGGCCACAGTAGCAACTGCCGATCGCATCTGCGTAACACTGCTCTCATTGGTAAAATGAGTGGTCCCATTTAGGAGCTGTTGATCTATAGGCAACGGCGGTAGAGGCAGCTCCACAAAATACTCTGAAGGCAGACGTAGTGGTGGGATTTGCTCATCAAAACCATAGAAATCAGATGTTCCTTCGTAGTCAGGATCAAAGAGCTCGAACATGAAGGGTTCATCAGCCTCGTCGTTTCGAGCGATTTCAAATGCGGCCAGTGTAGAAGGTTCTGCTTTCGGTGCTTTTCCTGCCCAAGTTTCTGAGCTGGAAACCATTATCGGGGGCTCCTCTGTAAATAACTCGTCAGAAACTCTTGTTGTTGTGACGACTGTAGGTGAAATCGCAGTTTCTTCAAAATCTTGTAACAACTGTTGTGGTGACTGTACACAAATAGCACGCGCCTCCATTTCATTTGTATCCAACGAGTCAATTGGCTGCTCCATAGTATCTTCACTCAAATCAACTACCTCCTGGTCTGGCGGCGCTATAAAGTCAACTCCATCGTAGTCATTGCCATGCAGCAGCCAATCACTCTTAAGTAAATCATCGAGCTGCGGGCGATTGGCGGGATTTCGTTCTAGGCACCATTTTACAAGTTGTTTAAATTGAGGAGAGGCATTTACCCAGCGCTCAGAGCGCTGATTGAAGTTCTCTTTCTTCATGCGTTTTCGGAGCGTGTGTTGCGCAGTGGCGCTCTGATCACAGTCTCCTTGGTAATTACGAAATGGCGCATGACCCACCAGCATAGTGTAGAGTGTGGCACCCAGACAGTACACGTCGACAGCCGGCGAGTACGTGACGACGTTGGGATCTGTAAGCAGTTCAGGCGGCGCATAATCTAAGGTGTATCGAGGTTTATCCTGCCAACTTTCGAATCCATAGTTGTAGCTATAAAGTTTTAAAATGTTTCAGCATCTTTTAAGTTTGGTTTATAGGCCGAACACTTACCAGGCATTGCCAAAGTCAACTAATTTCACACTATTGTTATTCTCCTCGCAATTCACAAACATCACATTTTCAGGCTTCAGGTCCCCATGTATGAAATGTTTGGCATGTATATGACGCACGGCTGATACCAGCTGCCCAAAGATCTCACGGCAGCTTTGCTCATCGAGCTTGGTATGTTGCAAACGTACTGCGAGCTCGTCCCCGCTCAAGTTTTCCGTAATAATCCAAACCTCGCATTTATCGCGAAACGTTTCAATGTAGTTTACAATGTTCTTGTGGTTGTTCTTATCCATGGCGCAGGAGGTAAGCGCATCAACCTCAGAAGCGCGAAACTTGGACAGTGGTATCACTTTGGCCAAGAATATAGTGTCTATATTGTTGTCTACCACAATGTGACATGTTCCGAATGCGCCAAATGCCTTACGGCTTCCCAGCTCCAGATCATCGGGTCGTGTTGGTATGTTCTGCAAGTACATATTGTTCAATTTTACACATTTCACAAGATTTTGTATTACGCACCTGCAGTCCTTGATTGCAATATTCAATATTGCAACGATTGTCTCGTCGCATCTGCTCCAAATGCTCGGGCGCAACATATGTGTAGCCACGAAAAAGTTGAATATGGCTGGGCGGCGCATCGCACTCGGGATCCTCTGGAAGCTGCTCAGTAAACTCGTAACTGAAATACTGTACATCATCTTCCGAGGCCAGAGATGGCTGAAATGGAGCAGTACGACGCTTGGCACGAAGCTCTTGCCAGTTGATGCCTCGAAAGAATGGATGATCTTTGATCTCGCTGGCATCACGATGATTACCGCCCAAACGGCGCTTAGGGTTTTTCTCCAACATTTTGAGTACGAAGTCACGCGCGCTTGTACTAAAGGAAGAAGGTATAAGAGGCTGTTCTTTTTGAATGCGACGCGATATCTCCGACTGCTGACTCTGTCCATCTGACGTTGCAAACGGTGAGGCACCCGTTAGTAGCTCAAATGTTAAAACGCCAACAGACCACCAATCGACGGCGCTATCGTGGCCTGGGGGTCCAGTCCGAATGATTTCTATAATATATATATATATATATGTACATCAAAATCATATAATGTACTTAGTAATTAGACAACATGCGTAATATCAGATCTTTTAGATTGATGATATATTTATTAAAGATACTATTCTTGAATAAGTATATGCGATAAACCAAGTTAGTTTGTCACCTGGCGCCATGTACTCCAGAGTGCCACAGAAACTGTGGGCACGGTACTCGTTTTCGGCTGTCAAAATTTTTGATAGACCAAAGTCAGATAAAACTATATGACCGTCACCGTCTAACAAAATGTTCTCCAATTTAATATCGCGGTATATTATGCCAAGTTGATGCAATTGCTCCAATGCCAGTACGACTTCGGCAATGTAAACGCGCACACGTGGCTCTTCAAAACGCTCCGCATTGTAAAGATGTGTGAACAACTCGCCACCATTGGCAAAGTCTGTAACAATAAATGAAAAATATAATTCACAGCAATTCTTGCGAATATTAGCATAAAGGTTATTGTTCAAGGAAACATATTCGTATAGAATGGCATACAAATTTTGAGTTTGTTTGAAGAAAGTCTGTACTTACCAAGCACTAGGTACAATTTTGAAGACGACTGAAAGGCGTAGTGTAAACCAACCAGAAACGGACTGCGCTGTACCGCTTCCAGCACCTGTAAAGCGAAAGATGTATCATTGCAACTTCAAATTTCATTTCATTTGCCTTTTTTTTAAACGTGAAAACATTTTTTTTTATCTAGTAGACTTTTTAAATGCATTATCGAAATTTTCTAGTGCAGTTGGAAAATTTACAAATTAATGAAAAGGCTTTGAAACTTCTAAGTATTTTCATAGCTACTGTATTTCAAAATATCTGTGTATACAAGTATAAATGCAGTCCAAAATACAGAGTCATCTTTGGTATTTGATTCATTGAATGAGTTGTGGAGATCGAAAATAAGTAAAGCCGCACTCGTTACCACGATTAACTTAACTTAATTTTTGCACTTACCACCCGTTCGGTTTTTGTATGCTCAGCCGTCTTGCGTTTTTGAACAACTGTGATCTTGTTCAGTACTTTCATGGCGTATAATCGGCCTGCATCGTGGCGAGTTAATTTACGCACTAGAAAAACGCGTCCATAAGCTGAAATCAGAATAAATCGAACAACAATTGTAATAACTAAGCCATGAAGGGAATATTAAATTGAATACGTACCTCCCGTTCCAAGAACACGAATAATTTTAAAATCATTCAAGCTCACTCGCTCATCGCTATACAATTTAACTGTGAGAAAAACAGAAAAACATATTATTTTATAAATATCAACAACCAAAGTTAGAAAAAGTTACAAAATATATTCTTATATTACTCTATCCAATTTAAATTAAACTTTTTGTTTTGAAGAAATGCTTATGAAGCCAAAGATAATGTTTTGCCATGGACATGTGAAACTTAAACACATCAGAGGATATTAACTTGTATTTCCCAAAAATCCGTTATTATTCCACTCCATAAAAAGGGTTGTAAGTCAAACATATTGAACTGCTGATATGTCCAACTTATTATAATTAAATAATTGCTTCTACTTTAAAGCATCTTTGTAAGTCTGTAATCTTCCCTGGTCATCATGGATTTATAAAAGAAGGATGGAATGCTCAAATAAAAACATTTTGCTATTGTCGGGAGCCCCGATTATAAATATGTACTCTGTACCTATGTGTATTGCGGGGGAGTGGGGGAAGGACGAACATTTTTAAAACTTCAAGAGTATATTCAGTTTGTGCAAAGTGAAATTGTAACAGGAAGGAAGAGACGTAGCAGATACCACAAAGTATATATATTTTTGATTAGCATGACTTGGCCGCCTGTCTGTTTGCCCGTCCATATGAACACCTAGATCTAATAGACTATAAGTGCTAGAGACACCAAATTTTGCTCCCAGAGGTATGTCAAGAGAGTAAAAGTATGTGCACCACTTTTAGCTTTAGTTTCTTTTATATAGAAAATGTGAATCAGCGCCTGTTATTGACGACATGGATTCAAGTAAAACCTTATGTTAGAGATGGAGAATGTGGAGGTTTGCGGCCTGATTCAATATGCTCACGAAGGTATCCGCCGTTTTTCAAAATCGACATTCAAATTACTAATTGCTGAAAAATAACATGATAAGCTCACCATATGATCGTAAGTCGGTTACACTCTCCAGATCCCGTTGATGCGCCTCATTCTCCAGATCCAGCGGCGCGCTGTTGCTTGTTGGCACGGTGTAGCCTGGTGTGGAAGCTGCTGTTATTGCAGTGCTATGAGCCGTTGCAGGCTTACTGCTTGTTGGCATCTCCTCATTTGTTTCCAAGTCGCTGTCTACTATATGTTCTGTTGGTTCTAGATCATCCCCGATGCTCTCAGCGTCAGAAATACAGACAACATCGACATTTGCCGGCAGTGAGGGCGAAGTTGGAGATAAAGTATCACGGTATGTGAAATTTGTTGTTGAGCTGGGCACCTCGTTGTTTGTTTGTTGCTTCCTTGTGTATTGGCCATTGGCCGTGGTCACTTTGATATTGTTGTTGTTATTTTTTACATGCTTGTTGTTGTTGTAGTTAGTCCGTGTGCTGGACGAAGCTGTTTCACGGGCGTTTGCAATGGCAGCGCCGCTGCCACCAATGTTCCCTCCATGCTGCTGCTTTAGTTTAATTTTTTTTGCGACCCCACCAACATGGTTTATATTTGTGGTTGCTGGCGGTGTACTCGGCCGTCTCCGCTTGCTTCCCGCAGCCGCGCCATTTCCATTGAATACATGTTGATGGCCATTTAAATGCTGGTGTTGCTGCTGACGCTGCACTTCATCGTTCCCAAGCGGAGCAGCGTTGCGTTTTGTGGACATATTTATACCACTTTCTCCTCCGCAGCCGCTGCTGCCACTCGTGCTATTGCTTACAATTTCGCACTGGTCACGACGCCGCTGTTGCTGTTGCTTATGATGGCGACTCATTTGAAAAGCACGTTCTATACCACAGTATCAAATATTTAAGGTAGTCGGTAATTCTAATGATTTTTTATTGATCATAGTATAATCGTAAGCATGATGATCTGTATGTAGAGAAAGAGAGAACCCACACCAATTGGCTTAGTCTTGTTTGGATTTTGCTGTGTCAGCAATATGGTACAGTTTTTCGTTAAGCCAAAGCAAATCCCTATAAAAAAGAGTTACACTCTAGGCTTGCTGTGCAAATAAATATTTTACTGCAAAAAAAAAAAAAACAAAAAAAAACCTTACTCAAAGCAACATCACACGCCAACAATGCATAATGCTTGCAAGTTCGTACATATGTATGTATGTACATATCACCAATCGAAATACAAATTATGCGCAAATGGCGGGGCACATATGTATGTATGTATGGCCGTACATGCATATGTATATACACATCGATGTTGCTTTCAGTACTTACAGTTCACTATTCAAATTTTAAGCAGAGCAAGCTTTAAACATTATTCAATCTTTTGTTAAAATACATTTTTAATAATCACAATCTTCATCAAATCCGTTTTGCGTTTGCTCTTCGCATGCACTCACTACTCTTTTCATAAGTTTTTCTTATTACATACAACACACACACACACATACATACACAGGCAAGCACTTTTCGTCTCACTTTCAGCTGCTGCTACTTTTGACGGCACTCGATTGTTTTTAAACAAATTGTATTTTGTGCACTGTACTTTTTGCTTATAATACTACATTTATGTTTCGCTTTTTAACTCTTCTTTAATAATCATTATTTGTTACATTCGAACAAGTTTTTACCGCCGCTTTCTACTTCGTACACACACAGAAGCATGCGTACATATGTATGTATGTATATGCGTGAAATGCTCTTCGTTAATTCTTTTTTGCTCCCATTCGTACCCACTTATTGTTGCTACACAAGTTTAATAGTTGACAATATCTATTGTAACTATATTTTTGCCAAAAACCCCACGAATATGGATAAATTGATAATACAGAATTTTATTTGTTTTCTTTGTTAACACTGTATTTTCTCATCTATATTCACGCGACGCGACCCGTTCATATCGAGGTTATTTATAAATGCTAGAGAAGTGAATAATCATCAATAGGCATATGTTATCGATATGTTACAAAAATGTTGCGATGACTACGAATGATGACAGTGTTTTTAAAATACTTGAAAATGTGGGTGATCCGAACCTTGGGCCAAAACGCCAACGCGTTAACAATTTCGGAGCAGTTGAAGGAGCGAGGATAACTTTCATTACTTTATTTTAATTTTATACTTGAATATACTGATATTTTTCTAGAAGAAAAAAATTGTGTAAGTTTGTTGCAGGACGAAGGGTTCCAAAACCATTGGCAATTTGAATCTACGTCAGGCCACCCATATCGTATTTGCTTACCACTAATTGATTGAGCGCATTATACCGTTATTTTTGTTCGCAATATAAACATATTTGCAACTGAAAATTTTTAGTCAGTAGAATTTTTAATATTTTATCATTATATCGTCTAATGGCTTGCGCACAAGATCGGGCACTTCACAGTTTTTTACTGCATAACCCACTGCTAGTAATATAAGTAACTTTTCGTTGTCTGGTCGATTAAGCAAACGCCGCAAAGCTGTGCCACAATTTAATGGTGTTGTAACTAAGGAACACAGGCCGGCAGCCTGTAGAGCACACAATAGGATTCCCGTTGCAATTGAAGTTGATATTTCATTATAATAATGTTGTTTTTTTCGCCCATCATCAGTGGTACCGTGTGTTTGCTTCAATATTATTATCAAATACGGCGCATCGGTGATATATTTCTTGACTGCGTTTGTTTGCAACGGCCGTAAGTCTGCAACCCACTGTGCATGCATTCGTTTGGTATAGTTAATATATTCCTCGTGCTCAACGATCTCGCGTACGGCACTCTTAATTGAAGGATCTTCCACGACACAAAATGTCCAGGGCTCTGTGTGTGCGCCACTAGGCGCCGTTCCTGCGGCACGAATGCAGTTTTCGATTGTGGAAATTGGTGGCTTTTTTAGTGCATTGAAAGTACGAATACTACGTCTTCCACGTACAAGTTCATAAAAATGTCGCGCTCCGTTAGGATTAAGATCATTTCCTGGTACAAAGGGTACGAATGGTTTTTCTGCTAAGGCTGGTTTCCAATAGTTTTTTTTGTATTCAGTACTGCTCTTGTTGGAAAGACCTTCAAAATATACATATTTTAAATTTAATGATAGGTCTATAGCTAAACAATTTGTTATGTATATATTACCTTGTATTTGTTCTTTTCCATCTACTGGCAATTTTTTTGAGCTCCGTAATTTTTTGGTTCGCAAGAATGTAAAGTATTTAATAATTAGACCGATAATAAGACCTCCTAATATGCTTGGCCAATGCCCTAGCAATTTAGATCCATTCAAGAGTGCGTCCATATTCTACAATATTTGTATTCAGACTGATAAATGCATGTACATATGTAGTATATTCAGACATGTGAATTTATGTGAATAAAAGTGATAAGCAAGCAGCAGGGTACTGTTCTTATCTGTATTATCTCGCGAAGGCCATCGGGCACGAAAATATGGAGCAATTTGCTGGACTATGTGAATTTTATTTTATAATTTGGTTAAGGTAAGGCCATTTGAACTGAATCAACCATCTCCCAACGTCAGGTTGGATAATACAGGTATGTACAAAAAATAATTATTTAAAAATTGAAGAATATTTTATGTACATTGTGATGCTGACTTAGCCAGCAGCTAATGTCTGCGGCAGTAAGGGCATATGCTAGGTTTTACTCCATTTGTGCAGTTGGTATTCTCGCCTCTAAGCCGCAAAACCTTCGGACCAGCAAATTTAGATTGCCTTTGACACGGAGAATACATTTGTCCATTTTTTTGTTGCGTTGGGGTGGTCTTTAGATGGACTATTTGGCGCTTGTGCACTTCGCGCAGAATCTCTATGATACGCCACTTTGCATCAAAGTATATAAAGTCTGGAGCATTTAAAAGTTCGGTACGAATCATATCACAAAGCATTTGCACTTGTGCTCCGTTTGTCGTAGACTCGAGTGGCAATTGTTGTTGGGGTAGCGAGTTTGATTGAGACTTTGCAGCCTCCCAATCTGGGCAAACAGTTTGTCCAGGTTTTGCAACTTGTCTAGTAGATTGCTGGGAGGTGGTGCAGTTTGGTTGTGAACTTTTGGTATTTACACGATTGGCAGGAAAGCAGTTTGACTGAGCCTCAACCGAGTAGAACGGCCTTAGTCCCAATTGATTGCAAATAGTCGGCTGGGTTGATTGATGACAAACAGGATGTGAAATTTGAAGCAGTGGAGCAGGTGGATCTTTAGCTTGTGATGTTTTAACTTGTGCTTTAGCTTGTGGCTCTTGCTGCAGTTTTTGCTGTTCAGACTCAGGTGGAGCTTGACATGGACATGAATCCTTTTGCTTTTGTTCAACTTGCTTTGGGCGATTCGGCTGTGGTGTTGACGGACATGGTGGGCAGGCTGGTGGGGCGGCATTTACAAATATAAGTGGCCCACTTTCTAAAACTTCACTTATAGAGCTGCCGGAATAGTTCCTAAATTGACGGTTGAGAGTTTCTTCGACTTCCATTTGAGAGTCGAATGATACAGCGACGTCAGCGTTGCTTCTCAAAATACTAGTGGACGATTGCTTCTGGTTGTTGCTTAATTCACTATCAGAATTAGGGGGCAAGGAACATGAGCTTCTTGTCTTGCTCTTATCAAAATCGATGGTCAAATGTGGCACAAGGAAGAGAAACTCGCTGTAGAAAGGTATAGAAGGCGTCATAATTTCACCGTAATTGCGCCGGGCGCTCTCAATAATAGTATATTCGCGTTCGAATAGACTGCGTAACTCTTCCAAATATAAACGCAAATCATTGCTGGTAAAGTTGGGAAAAGACCGCGAAATGTCGTTATAGCAATCCTCGTCAAATTCCTTGTTACCGTAGTAAGTGTTCTTGGGATTGTAAAGATTGTCGTGTTTGCAATAAAGCCGGATTAACTTGCGTACATCTTCTTTTTCTAATGGTATGTCTGTACCTACAACCCCACCAGCTTTGCGTTTCCGTTTTTTATTTAACGCCCGTTGGTCCTTTAATGTCCTGCGTTCTTTGCGGTCCATGGATCCATGCAGCAGACCTTGCATGCTTGTCATTAGCCAACAAAATCTTTTCGGTAATGTTTTCTCTTCGCTTGTACTTATGTCATCCTCTTTTGATCCATATACTAAGTTTGATGTAATGAAATTGGGTCTTGCTTTAAACGAACTTTTACTAGATTTTGGCAGTGGTTCTAACCCCAATAAGCTTCCAGCACTAACCTTTGCCTTGGAGCTTTCGATGCCAACATCCGTACTAGCGCTGGAAATTGAGCTGATTTCACGTATCATGCAAATGGAACCGGAACGCTTGAAGCAACAGCGTTTGTGTTTTCGTTCCATTCTTGGCTATTTGACGCTTTAATAGATATATATTTGGTTTTATGGGTGGTTTGAATTCAAAATTCTTTAATGGCAGCAGCATTATAAAATGGAAAAATTTTGTTACATTTTTTTTTAAATATCTGGGACTGATTTGGAATTCTTGTTGGTGGATATTTGAAAGTAATTTCAAATACTTAAACCTACTCGCGCCCGTTTTTCGTCGGATTTTGAATATTTTCCAACACTAGCACTGTCGTCGCAAGGAGGTAGGGAGAGCGCACTTTGTTTACTAAAATAAGTTACGTGCATGTGACGTTTAATTTTCTCAGACTAATTCATTAAAAAACAGCTTGGTGCTACGATCTCTAAAACGAACCATTAATTGCTAAATTAAAAAAGGGCAATGTTTCAATGTTGCCACATTTGCTAATATTTACAGTTAAATTGTGTCTGCGTGCAACCGTTGGGAAAGTGTAATAAATCAATGCTAGGCAGTAAGAACGAGAACGCGGAAGTAACAAAATCAACGACGAGCAAGAAGAGCAGGTGGCGCTGAAGGAGACTTGCCATAACAAATGCCATAGACGTAGCTGGTCAAGCAAAAAAAATATATACATACATATATAGTTGGGCTGTATAATTCTTTCATCGTTTATTAAAATGGATGAAGTTTTTTCATTGCACATGGAAAAACTGGACGTCTATGACGGTAAGAAGTAAACACGGACAAGCACACATGCACATGTATGTACATATGTATTTGCATATGTATTAAATATATTTCTAAAATAACCCTATGAGTAAAATATAAATTAAAATCAACTCGTCGTTAAGTCATTTTGCTCGTCTTCATCGTCATCAGACGAGCCTTGAAGTATCTCGTGAATTACACGATCTTGATCTCCAGTTTTTACGCCCTTTATGATCAAGCTTCTCAGCATAGATATATTCGACTCCTGCTGCTGTATTTTAGCTTTCAGCTTTATGTTCTCCATCTTTAGCTCTTCAATACGTTTTTTGCGTTCTTCGGCAGACTTCCTCGTCTTTTCCCGGGTGCGTTGAACTGCCTGTGGATTTGATTAGACGAAGATATGTACATAAATATACATTTAGCGCATTGCAACAACTTCCGCTATTATGCTATTTTAAGCACCTACTTTTGTAAATACATATAGACTGACAGTGTTTGGTTTTTGTAAAGCTCCAATAACTAACATACAAACGTACTTCATTATTTTTTTGTCTTTTCAACTGATATTGTGGATCGTCGCTCCGTGGACTGGTTGACGCCGCTGCAGTTCTTCTCCTTGCTGGCATACTCTCTGTAATAATTTTAATATGTATTTAGTTTTACAAAAACAATTTTAAGTAGGACTCGAACAATTTTCCCAATCTGAAAATGTAGCTACTTGTGAAATACAACACGAATGCGAATGATACCAAAGCGCAATAGAAAATATACTGTTTGCTAAAAGCAAGTGTTGCAAAGCGGAGTGTTAAAGCCCATCGGACGGATACAATAAGATGCGGTGTTATAAAATAAATTCAACAGTATGTTTTAGTGTAATTTTTAATGAAAGAAATGGCAATATGTAAACTAATACAACGCCTTTAGTTTATTCGCATATCCGATATATTTTTTGTCTACATATTTATTTAGCTAATTTTCTTCACACACAGTATGTTTGTAAAGACTGAATTATTGTACATACTTATGTAGTCGTCTTTTGTAATAAATTTGGAATCTACAAAATAAAAATTAAGGTAATAGTAAAATGAAAAATTGTTGACCCTATGCATACGTATGTACATGTAAATGCATAGGTACATACTTATGTAAGCAATCAAATAAATGTTTGAGGAACTACATACATATGTACATAAGTTGGGGTTTTATTCTTTAGTGAATTTACATAGTATATGCGTGTATACGTGTATGGTATTTACAACTGACATTTCTGGTATTTTTACATTTCTGAATTTTCTTCACACTGCTCGATTAAGTTTGTGTTTGGTGTTACCCAGCACTAAACGTTTGGCAAAACGTTTTCTGCATAAGTTTATGTTGATTACTTTTGGCGGACTTTTAGTTTAAAATTAATTCTTATAATGTCAGATGACGACGATATACAGTATATCAAACGACAGCGCACATTGCACTATGGCTCGCTTGAAGAGCAAGAGCAAAAACGTCAGGCCGCGGCTGCCGCGTCTGCAACAACAATAATGCCGGCAGCATCAACGACTCCGGGCCAGTTGGAAGATATTGATTCTGACGAAGACTATGAGGAATGTAATAAAAAAAGTAATACAAAAAGTGGTCTGCCCCCACCAACTGCTACGACGCTCGCAAACAAGATCGACGATGACTACTTCGATCTCGAAGGCGAAATGGAAAGGGACAAAGTGGCGCTCCTCGAGGAATTTGAGCGCAAGAAGCGTGCACGACAAATTAACGTTTCAACAGATGACGCCGAGATAAAGCGTAATTTGCGCCAGCTAAATGAACCGATTTGCTTTTTTGGTGAAGGACCCGCAGAGCGTCGCCGCCGTCTTAAGGAGCTGCTTGCAAGTCTCGGTGAGAATGCCATAAAACAGAAGCAAACTGAAGAGGAGGAGCGCAAACTACAGCAAAAAGAACAGGAGGCAACCTGGTATCACGAAGGCCCGGAAACGCTGCGTGTGGCACGGCTTTGGCTTGCCAGCTACTCGTTGCCTCGTGCACGAGATCGTCTGGAACGCGCACGGGCCGCACTTGAAGTGCCGAGTGCGACACGCGCTGGCCGCATGGTAGAAATGCAGAAAAGGCTTCAGTCATTGGCGCCGCTATGTTCCCAAGTTGGAGACACTCGGCCAGTAAGCAGTGCTGCCTTCAGCGATGACTCTGCGTTACTCCTAACTGGCTCTTGGTCGGGTCTGTGTAAGTTATGGAGTGTGCCTAATTGTGAGCTCAAACAAACACTTCGTGGTCATGGCAGCTATGTGGGCGGAGTTGCCCTGCGTCCTGGTGTGACGCAAGATGAGCAGAATGTAGTAGCAATGGCCTCGGGCGGACATGATGGCATTGTCAAGCTATGGGGTTTTAACAACGAGGAATCTATAGCTGATATCACTGGACATATGCCGCATCGCGTCTCTAAAGTAGCCTTTCATCCTTCAGGTCGATTTCTGGCAACTGCGTGCTATGACTCCTCGTGGCGACTATGGGATCTAGAACAAAAAACCGAGGTGCTCCATCAGGAAGGGCACGCCAAACCTGTGCATTGTCTAAGTTATCAAAACGATGGCAGTGTTATTGTAACTGGTGGGCTAGATGCGTTCGGGCGCGTATGGGATCTTCGCACCGGAAGGTGCATTATGTTTCTTGAAGGACACCTTGGTGCCATTTTTGGCGTAGACTTTTCACCGAATGGCTTTCACATTGCCACAGGCTCGCAAGATAATACTTGCAAAATTTGGGACTTGCGCCGTCGGCAGCCCATCTATACCATACCCGCGCATACTAATCTAATTTCGGATGTTAAATATCAGCAGGATGGTGGCAGCTTTCTGGTAACATGCTCCTATGATTCGACGACTAAGATCTGGTCTAACAAGACGTGGCAACCATTGAAGACTCTTCAAGGCCATGACAATAAAGTAATTGCTGTGGATATATCTCCGAATTCTCAGTATATCGCAACAACTTCTTTCGATCGCACATTTAAGCTGTGGGCAGCCGATAGTTAGTTTTTACTTAAATTTTTTCTTAATAGCATTTGGTCTGTTGTTTCTCAATTGTCTAACTGTTCTTCATAGCAATCAGACAAATTTTGTTGGTCACATGGAAAATAGCCCATTACTGAAGTTTTATCTTTACAAAATAGCTGTTATTGTTAGGCGATATAAATTTAAGTTTTTTGTAAAAAAAAATAACACTGTTAATAAAAATCTTGTTTGGTATAACACTAAACTCACGGCTGAAGCGAATTAAAAAAATGAGATATTTTTGAAAAAAAGTAATTAGATTTCTTAGCAATAAATAATTAATAAAACAACACCTGTCGCGCATATATAAATAATGCATTCATGACATTTCTATGCATATTCGCAAGTCTTTATTTAAAGAAGGAATTTTAAAAAAGTTCTTCCTTAAATTTGCGTGCTATAAAACGACAGAAGGAAATGCCAATTAAACAAACAGAAATTAAGCAAAATTGTAATTAACATGTTTCCTCTTGAATCACATTATGCGATTCTTAAATGCACGCCTGCTGTTTTAAATAACTTCAAATTTTTAAGGGATTTGTGTATATATCTATAAATTTTTGTATGACAAACTTATTCATTACATTGAAATTGAACTAAAATGTAACTAACACAGATAGGTTGCATTTATATTTAAATATACTTAACATTAATGTATTTACATACTTTTAGGTACATAAAAACAAAGTTTATAAATTTAATGGATACCCGCTCAATTAGTTCCGTAAACTTAGACGCGGTATTATATAGTATGTATGCACATGAGTACACAAATACGATTATGCATTATGTTAATTTCTGAAACATGGTATTTCCTTTACATTCAATTTTTAAATTAACATGGCTACTTCATGCCTTTGAAATTTATATATGTATGTATGTCCACATGTACTATATATGCGTATTTGCTCGGACATGACAATATGCAGATTTTAAAGGCTGGAAACCACCGCAAGTATGAATGTATGTATGTATAATCAGAGACATAATGTACGTATGATTACTTATATATGTATATGTATATGTGTGTAGATGTGTATACATAGTTCATAATGAGGTTGCACTGTTCATATTTTATTGGCGCGCCACTTAATCTTTAATTTGATTTTGCACTATGCTATTAACTAAAAAAAATGATAACTAATTAACAATAACGGTATAAGTTTATTGGAAATCTTTTCGGCACTATTGATTCGCTGATGCTGAGTGAAGTTCATTGCGTCTTAAAGCAATTATGGTTTTTGATCCTAAACTGTCGTGTCTGGTGGTGGCGAAATAGACTGCTTTGACTCGGAGGTGCCCACAGCGTAAGACTGCGTCGGTGCACCATCATGATTATCCTCCGGTGCAATGTCAATGCGATGGGCCTTGCGCCAGACCACCAAATCCATTATGAATGCAAGGAACATGATGCCCGCTGTGATGCCTTTAAGGAGTTAAAGTGTTCTATATAGAAGACGAAGCAATTAGGTGGTGTATGGGATTCGGACTCACCTAAGAAATAGTGCCGGAAGGTGTCGGCATCATAAAGAGAACAGGCACCATGCTTTCCACATACCGACTTCCAAATAAGACATGCTGAGTCAACGACAGCACCATAGATAATCGGGCAAGGAACATTACCAAATAGACCGATGGCAGATTGTATGACGCCCATAGCCATGGCCTTATCTGAACGTGAATAATCATGTACAATTGATAACAATAATAAAAAACAACTTCCACATACCTTTAGGATGTGTACAGCGCATGACGAGCAGCATGCTTCCCACTTCGGAGGTGGAATGCATAAAAACACAAATGGCAAAAATCAGTATGAAATAAATGAAGTTCTTGCACTTATTATCACAGTAACCGTTGACCGCATCAAATAAATCAGGAGCTGGCGCAGCAACTATAAGTGAAAGTAATATATTAATATCAAAAATATGACATTTCATCCCCCACAAAAGTCTGTCATTATTTAACACTTTTTAATGTATCATTTGGTCTATGCAGTTTCCTTTTATATGATCGGAAGCCAACATTTCTTTACAATTATTTAAGACGTATAATATAGTACATATATAATTCAACGGGGAGAAAAACTGGGTGCAAATTTTGAGAGAATGTACTTTTAATCTGGAGAAAATATCTGCCTAATAGTATATCTTCATTCATGTAGGATGGCAACTTATTTACAAAATTTGTTAACTAATTTGTTAAACGGACTCATATTTAACTTACCGACTGGAATGCAAGCACAGTCATTATAAACTGTCCGATTATCGCTACGGCGCAGCGTGGCACTGGTGCAGCCGGCATGGCACGCAGAGATATACATCCTACCATCTGCACCACAAATGGGCGAGAAATTTTCCTTATCACAGTTGCAGTTTTGTGCGGCAATGCAGGCGGGCTCGATTAGCGCAGGACTAAATGGAAAGACGAATTAGCAATTGGTTATCAATGTAATTAATACGGCAACACACCTATTGGTATCGGCGGCCTTGTAGCCTGCAAAGTCGTTGGTGCTGCAGCCAATAAACATTAGTATGACCATGCCTGCAGCATAAACTAGAGCTGTGAATGCAATCCATGCTGCTACAGATTTGGCAGTTGGCTTGCGTTTTAAAATAACTAAACCTGAGATTACTATGCCGAAGCCCATTACGAGTATGCCGCAGAAAGCAGCTATCATATTGGCATCATAGGTAGCTAGATGAAACTGTGTTTCGAGGTACTTGGGCAGAAATGTGTACAGGCCAGCAATGGGTAAAAGGTGGAAGACACAGGAGGCAGTGCGAAACATAAGTATATCATTGCTCAGTTGACGGCGCACAGTCTTGGGAAAATCTAAAGGAAAATATAGGTATAGAAGGAATTAGAACAATTGGAATCACACATTCTACAAGTATATGTACTCTTAGTTGCAAGTTCTACTTAACCGTCTGAATACTTACCGTCAAATAATAATACTAAGAAAGTAACCCAAAATCGAAAATAAAATTCCGTATTTCCGTTATCTTAAGAAATAGTCAAAAGAATGTATGTAATACAGCCACGTTACACGGTATTCTGGTTGGCTTTACTCTGGTTCATAACTGTAATAATTCTTATATTGTTGTGCTCGTATTTGGTACTTTATGATAGGTTCTTCGAAACACTTTCAGATAGGGCCATTATAGGTTCAGTGTTTAAACTCTCAAGTCTAAGATGTACACTAATATAAGCTCTGCGATTTAAGCAACTCACCCTTTAATCTCGGCTTCTCATCCACATCCGCAATAGCAGGATTGCCTGCTTCAGTTGGGGACGTTTGCTTCGTCCTTTTGTTACACAGTTGCTTGGGAAATGAGAACATTGCGATTGAGGCCAGCAGCATCAAGCTACCTATTGCCACGGGTCCAAGCCACCAGGCCCCTATCCAGCGCGAATCGCTTGCATTGAAGCCCGGATCGGATAAATTAACATACCAGCGGGTGCAAAAGGACCCCACAATAAAGCCTGAAGCGGGACCCAGAATTCGCATGCCTATGGTGACGGCCATATACATTGGTGACTGCTTGCTGCCAACATTGTCGTCGATATATGGGATACCTAGCGTAGCCACTGCCGTCTGACCAATACCTGAGCTAAGTAGGCTCCCAAAAAAAATACATAGCACTATTACCGTGATCTTGGAATGCGAAGCCTGCTCCAATTTTTGGCCTTCGTCGCATTCTGTACTCGGTAAAGTGTCATTTCCCCCCAACTGACAGAGATTGGCATGAAAACTGCTCGAAGACGTAAAGACGCTCATGTTTCCCGAGTCAGGCTCGCTGAGTGACTGCGGCTTCATGAATACGCTAGATTGCATTAACTGCTCGCCAAATATAAAATGTGGCAAGGCACAGGAAAATGCTGCAATCGAAAACAACACCATGCCGCAGGCGATCCAACGTGGTCTATGGCCACGGCCCGCAAAATAAGTCAACAGCATAGCCGTACTAATTTGTCCCATTTCACTAGCGCTTAGCAAAAAACCCGTGGTCTTCGATTTAATCTGAAACAGTTTCTCAATTGTGGTAATCACTGACACAAAATATGTCATATACATGCCCTGCAGAATGTAGGCGAGCAGAAATACCACCATGAAAACATGTGTGGAGGCAAACCGACGTGCCCATCGTGGCTGGCAACCAAAAAGCCCACAGGTGGACGCATGGCTACCCCGTAAATCTGAATCGCAATCTGATTCCTCGGACTCTGAGGCACGCGCAAGAGGTACTCTATAGCAATGCCCGCCCGTGAGTGGCGCCTCCTCGTGCGTATACTTTTCCCGAAGACTGCGTCCGTTGCTGTTTCCGTTATTGTTGCTACTATGATGATGATTATGCGAGCTGAGGAGACCGTTCTTCAAATTATTTATATCTTCCGCTGCCTTCCACTCGTTGTTATTGCTAGGCGTACTCTCGTATAGCACAGTGGAGGGAAGCGTGCTAATCTCAGCGGTTCCATGTGTGTTATCGTGCTGAACTAGCAGCGGCGTAAAGACTTGAGTCGAGTCCCGTCGCACACCATTCTGATAACCATTGTTGGTGTGGGAGGGCGTGGAATGAGCACACGGTTTGTTACCACCGCTTGACTTGCTGCTCCCATTAGTTGCAGTCGCCGCCAGTGCTGGCGGTGCTGTCACAGTGGGCTCTACATTGCAACTGCCCTTTGCCTGCATTTTGTACGTTAACGTTACGTAAAGGTTGTGGGATCGCCTCTTCGGTATTCAATTAATTTCGTTGATGGTCTCAATAGCCAGATACCAGTTGTTTTCCGTATTGTTATATATTTTTTTGTTTAAAAATTGGCTGCGATTACAATCGTTTTAGTACATGTTGTTCCATTATTGTGGCAGCTACCAATGTAGCTTGCATATATGTACATATGTTTTATTAGTTTCGGACAAATCCGGGGCAGCAATACGAGGTAGTTTCGTTGTTACGCTGTTATGCTGTTGCTCTTTACCTTGCTGAGCAAACAGTAATCTTTGTTGAAATATGGCAATGTGTTCTGAAAAAAACGAAAAAAAATTGGCCAAGTAAATAAAGTGTAACATTGGAAAATGTTCAACATTTATTTTGAGCAGTCGTTTTTTTAAGCCTTACACCAGAGTTGGGTACAGCCCGCACATTTCGGCCCAGTCCGATACGACACCACCACGAAATTGACTTTTTGAAACAAGTCTTGAATATGCTGGATATTCTTGTTCAGCATGACAAAACGAGTCGATTTTGTCCCGACTGTCTGCCTATCTGTTTGTTCATCCGTATGAACACCTAGATCTCAGAGGCTTTTAGGGAGGAGAAACAAATTTTGTACACAGACCCGTATGTGTACGCCATCCCGCTATAATGGACTTTCTGTAACGCCTTTTGGATAATCACCTATATCTTGGAGCCTTTAAAATCTAAACACCAAATTGGTCCAAGATGCCTTATTTCATAACGCATGACAAATGGCATAATTGATGTAAATATATATGTAAGTGTTATATATATTTTTTTTATTACAAAAATATTTATTTTTTTTTTTTGTGGGAGTTGATATGTTTAAGGTATTTAAAAGTTCAGCTCGTTCAACTCTTTCTTGTTAAATATTAGCATGCTGATTATCTGATTCAATAAATACGAGCATATATAGTATATAGGCGATCCTTTTGAACAAAGAGCGGACTTGAATGAGGCATAAAGTTCTTTGGTTCTTAAGCTATACGCACTTTTGTGTGAAACTGATGATAGTTGCTGATATTGTAACATATGCACGTTTTAAAAAACCACAAATAGTATTCATTTGTAAATTAGTAAATATGCACATATGCAAGGGCTTGATTACTTGATTACCTTTAAATCATATCTATTTAGTATAGCTGATGAAAAGGAAAAATATATGCAATTGGTATTAGCAGTCTATTCTGTAATCGGCTGATCGTTTCCATGACAGATTGTCCGAATCATTGTCTGATGAACTCTTTCAAAATTGATATTTATTGAATAATCAAATGCTAAGCTTGCACAGCCATACATATGTATTTATATTAAATATATATATATTTGGTGATATTTATATAATAGTACATACATATGTACACAACCGGTACGTAAATGAAATGTAAATTCAAAAAGCGCAGCACAGAATTTAAATAGAAAGCACATAGCATGTTTTTGCAAAATTAAATAGCAAGCGGCAACGGCTTATCAGCATTCAGAAACACATACATACGAGTATGTGCATACTATATGTACTACAAGTATATGATAAATTCATTGCACAATCATTAATTAATGTTCAGTACTAAGTATATTTGTAGTGCGTCATTTACGTTTTTTATATATATATAAAAATACACACACACATATACAAATATACACATATACGTATGCATATACATACATATGTATATATATTCCAATTGCAGTCACAGGGGCCATGTTGCAGACAAATCTTATCACAATAAATGCAAACACATCGCGTGGCCTCGCTGATAATGAAAGTGAAATTCCCCTCATTGTTACTTTTATTTTGTCAGCAACAGCACTTCATACAATGCATAAAATATTAAATGCAATAAAGAGAATCATGTTAGCTGCGTCGGCCTTGAAATGTCGTATTGCGCATTTTCCGAAATAATTCTCGATTGCTATAATTTTCTTATTTTGTTGCTAATTTTGATTTGATATTTGTATATTTTCGTAGTTGTGGCACAATTAAGTCGTCGTAAAAAGTAAACGTACTTATCAATCAGTGCATATCATTCAAATGTATGTGTAAAATATACCCGAGACAAGAGGATCGTGATTACCAGTTTCGCATCTCTTGCTCCCGATTTGTACTTTGATACGGGACTGCTGAAGAAGATTGCACTTTTCTGGCTTATATAACAATAGCTACATGTGGTTTGAGTATTTTGCTCATGCATATTGCTGTTAATTATTTTTAATAGCCAATTGACAAGACAAGTGACGAAATTGTGGTGCGCATCTAACGCATAACTAAGCGCCCGCTAATTTATCAGTGTCAATCTTAATAAACACAATAAAAGCAATGTTCATAAATTGACTAGACACCAGCTTTACATTATTTCTGCTTTTTACGGGTATGGCCTTATGACACTACGCTACAATCTAACTTAAAGGCAAAATTTTGGTTTTTTTTCGCGTTATCATGTTGCGATGATTTCAGCTTATATTTGACCAAGTTTAGAACAAACCGATCCTAAGTTACAAATAATAGACAATGTTTTCAGGTATGCGGGTTATACATAGTAACCTGTTGCAAGTAGCGCGAGCAAGTCTTTTTGTCGCAAACACATGCGTGTAAATTGTCTGATTTTTATTTTTTCTGTTTGCCGCTCTTTCTGTTTCTTGAATAGGCGATTGCAATGGCCAAAACGTTTTTCTCCTTCCGATTTGTCCGAAGACAACTTGCTACCTTCATGACCACGTAACCAGCCATCTAAGTTATTACGCGATCTTGTTTGGTTCATATGTATGTGCGAGTATGTACTCTGGATATGTATGTGTATGTGCGTTTGAATTGCGCAAGCGCAGCTATTGCAAATTGCATGCCTGCCAGTTGCTGGTATTTCTGCTGATGTTGCTGTTGCTGTTGCTGCTCAGTGTTGCTGGTGACTGTTACATGCCAACATGCAACAAACCAGACACACGGGCAACACAAATGTGTTGACTGCACAACAACAGCAATAAGCACAAAAGAAAGGTGTAACAATGCGGCTAAGAAACGGCATTGAAAGTAAATTGCAGACTAGTAAAAGAGACAGCGATAGGTGGATAACAAAAACAAAATCTTGTCGAGTGAGAATTGTGATGATAAGCTTAGAAAAAGTGGTTTGGTCACATTTCACTTTTAGCATAAAAGCATAAAAATAACTTAGAACTTGTTTTCTTTGTAGCTTGTGACTGTCTATACATTTCTACATACTCGTACATACATATGTGTGCGTTGAATTGTAAGTTTTTAGTTTCCTTCAAATATATTTTACATCTAGTATATAAATATACTATGAGCATATTTATGATTGCAAAGGTTAAGTGTTCTACAAATAGGGTTTAAGGCATATGTACAAATGTATGTATGTTAGTACAAAGACGCAAACTAGTGCAATTAAAAGTATATATGTACATATCTAGTATGTATTCATGTACGTGTTTGACTTTATAAGAAATTTAGGTTACATTTAATTAACCGCACAAATGGGACCACTCTGTTAAGTTAGTCGAAGTTAATCCCATCAAATAACCTTCACAGGATGGAAATGCTTGCATTCTATGGTTACTCGCTTGTACATATACATATTGGGAATTTTGAAATGACGAACGCCACCTGCAACTGTGTCTGACACTTTTGCTTCTAAGGTTAGCAAACCGAAAACTGAATTGTAATTGCCGAATATTGTTGGAATAATTTCCTGATTTACGATAAATGTGTACATTGTTCGCAGAAAGTTCGTTTTAAATTGATTCAAACAAATTTGTCGTAAGCTTCGGTAATACTAAGCACTTTGCCCTTTATGGCAACAAGATTTAAATGGATCGAGTAAATCATCATATGATCATTTTTCGTTTTCGCTCGACTCTAGCCTTCACTTCTTGTTTGTTTCATTAAATTTAATTAGTTTTATAATGATTTACACAACTTAATAATCTTAAACATATACGATATGGCAATAATTGTATCTGGTTGAAAATCAATCCAACTAAAATAAGTAAAATACTAAGCCAAGTCACGTATGTTCTTCTTCTATAGTTCTTACATAGTATGGGCATTGAGAAATGAAGAATCATAACATTTTCATACGCAGGCAAATCTTATTACAAACTTTTACACGTTTTAATGTTAATAGTACATATACTATGGGATAAATTAATATATGTTAAAAAATTTCCCTGCCATACATAACTTGTTTCGCCTAAAACAACAAGGAAATTCGAGGAAAAAATACAGTTCAATTCACGTAAGTATGAAAAAATATTAAACGAGCACTTACTATATATGTTACGACTACACAATAACAATAAGTAAAAGCGTTAAAGTACAAGGGGCCGTGTGAACATGCATGCAAATGTTGTCTATACATAACAACTTCAATACAAATTGTTCATGACGCTCCAGTCGCAGCACATGACAGCAACAGCAACAACAACGTAACTACATATAATCAATGTGAACGAACAACGAAAATGGCTGCACGCCAGCAAAAAAAAAGAAGATTTTTATAAAAATAAAAGACAAATGAGCACAGCTGCCTCTCTTTGCCTGTTTGTGAGTGTAAAAATGAATATAAAATAATAACAAAACAAATGGACAAGATGTATTGCATTGAGATAGGTCAGTCACACACGAACACGCACACAAGCACACCACATGCACTATAAAGCTTTATAGTTGCAGCTCTGCAAGTGCAGTGACGACTAAAAACGACAAACGACAGCCGACGGCCGACGGCCGACTGCCACTGCCGACTGCTCTAATTACAAGATACATACTATAAATAATAATGATTGCGAAAACATTCGGATAGGGGTGGCTAGCATAGTAGCAAATATATTCTTATGTTTTTTTCTGCCAGCATGGCAACGACAATACTTAACGAATGTTGGAAATCGTATCTTAGAGTGCAGCAGCATTAAAACGGTTAATGCAAGTACATATATACTACACTACACCAGCCTGAAGCCAAATTTGCAAGCTTCCCCTGAGCTTCAGCAACCGCAACATTCATGAGGAGAGCATGGATTTGAAAAAGCTTCGTGCCTTAGCTTTAATAATTCTACGTTTTAGGCAGACTGATACGCCTTTCTGTACTCTTTAGGGGCAGAAATATTACTATGTGTTGTCGCTCCTAACTACAAGTATGGCGTGGTTTTTGAAATTATACTTGTATACCTTGCACCTCTGCTAGTACCAACATGGGGTTTTTCTACAGGTCCAAATTTTTTCGACCAATCTTAAATTTATAAACGCTGTTGCAGTCATTCCAAATGTCTCAACTA